CTAACACACAACAGGATACTGAGTTTCATATACTGTAGTGTTGTAGGTGGTCGTTTTGTCAACATTTGTCTCATGACTAACATTGTTACCTCACGATACGTGTATACACTGATGATGAGACACAATACATTCTAACTGACAACCTAGTGATCATCGCATCCTAACCTACAATATAACCTGATACTAGCTAACACATACAACAGGCTACTGAGTATCATATACTGTAGTGTTGTAGGTGGTCGTTTTGTCAACATTTGTCTCATGACTAACATTGTTACCTCACGATACGTGTATATACTGATGATGAGACACAATACATTCTAACTGACAACCTAGTGACCATCACATCATTACCTACAATATAACCTGATACTATAGGTCGGCCGCTTAGAAAACGACCTCCTCCAGCATTGGTTTAGCATTAGCGCGTTTTCTAAGCGGCCGAACTATAGCTAACATATACAACAGTCCATAGAGAATCAAATATTGCGACAAAAAAACTTTATAGCACAATGGGTACGTTATAAGTCCTTAAAACCTTCTTATCATGAACAAGTGGTATGCAGTTCGCCCGCATGAAGTGGGCTCGCTTTAACCCAAACCACAATGTTCGGGTTGCTTTAGTTTCTACCACAGGGCTTTGTTTTCACCATGGTGCTTTGGTTGTCACCACAGTGCTTTGGTTGTCACCATGGGGCTTTGGTTGTCACCATGGTGCTTTGGTTTGCACCACAGTGTTTTGGTTGTCACCATGGTGCTTTGGTTTGCAACACAGTGTTTTGGTTGTCACCATGGTGCTTTGGTTGTCACCATGGTGCTTTGGTTGTCACCATGGTGATTTGGTTGTCACCATGGGGCTTTGGTTGTCACCATGGTGCTTTGGTTGTCACCATGGTACTTTGGTTGTCACCATGGTGCTTTGGTTGTCACCATGGTACTTTGGTTGTCACCATGGGGCTTTAGTTGACACCATGGTACTTTGGTTGTCACCATGGTGCTTTGATTGTCACCATGGGGCTTTGGTTGTCACCATGGTGCTTTGGTTTGCACCACAGTGCTTTGGTTGTCACCATGGTACTTTGGTTGTCACCATGGTACTTTGGTTGTCACCATGGGGCTTTGGTTGTCACCATGGTGCTTTGGTTTGTACCAACGATGTGGGTTGCAAACGACGCTTTAAGACAAGTGAGAATATGATACGGATCAAGCAATATGACCTTGAGGTCTATGCTTATAAAATGTATACAGTAACATAGCCTACTTCTGTAGGTCGTATTTTTAAGACCAATAAAAAATAGATTGCTAGAGCCTCCAACGCATGTAAAACATTCTCGTTCAATTTGGTTAGAGACCTAGATTTGGTTTGATAACATAACTGATATTTCTGCAAATAAGTTTACGTTTTTTATTAATTTCGAAGAATTCGTACAAAACTATGTACAAGATATTTTTATCTACACATAGTTGGAAACTGGTTCCATCAGCTTAACATGGTAGCTGGTAGGTTGTTCAGCAAATCTTTCCACTCTCGGATAAATTTCATAAAACTCCCTCGTTAGAAAGTTAATAATTTTTTTCTATTCAGAATTGTAATTTGATTGGGCTACCTTTCGGTCGTGTCAGATTAAACAATTAGCAAATAGGTTAAGAGGTCGACCACGATAAAGCGGTAATGGCTTCTGATGAAATATGAGGAGAAACTTGAATGACAGAAGGTTGGCTTGCTGACTTAGACTTGGCAATTTTGACACGAACTGAAAACCTTATTCAAGGAGCTAAATTAAATTATGTATACACTTATAGAATGTTAAGGTCTTAAACTAAAATGGTAAAAACAATCGATCAGGTAAGCGCGAATGTTCTTCAGTTTCTACATTTCAAATGAGCTGGTAGTAAAACTATTTTATAGAATATATTTAAACGAGCTGACCAATGTATTGGAGAGTGTTATTAATTTGTTTTCAGTGTTATATATTTATTTTTCAATTTTTACAGAGTGCTGCGATAAATTATGTATTTGGGACTAACATCATGTACTGTACAATACAGTCAGCAATATGATAATATAAGGCCTATACAGCCTGCGATGAATCAAATATGTTTGCTCTTATCTCCTCCATATTGTAACTTTTCAATTTATACTATAACTAAAAATATCCTCGAGACATACAGTATGTAAATTAAGTCTTGAAACAAATCTGTATTTTTTAAACCGAAATAGATAGAAATATTCTGAGTGTGGCGTTGACTGTTAACAAAGGTTCCGTAATTTTTTACATCAAAATATGTTTTTATCTACCCCCAAAACAGGGTAGTGGGTTGGGGGTGTCGTTTTTTTTCAAATAGCAATTCCTATTGAGTGACCCCTCATTTTGAAGGATTTGTCAAGAGAAATATAATGAAGCGAATCCGAGGTAGATATATCACGCCTAGCCAAAATGGTAGGTATTCCAAAATTTGAATTATGTGAGCACCGCCCATTACACCGATTCAAATTTGGAATGTCGTAGGAGACCGAATGGTGAGCGTCTTAATACCTCACATATCTACCTCAGTTTTGCGTCACTATATTTCTTGAGACAACCCCTTAAAAATGAGGGGTTGCTATTTTAAAAAGTCAACTCTACCCCCGCCCTGTTAGGGTAGGCCTATTTAAAAAAGATAGATCTATTTCTGTAAAAAATGGACTTATTTTTCATATTTTAGTGAAACTGGTGATTTTTTGCATAAATTAAATTATGGAATACCTGCCATTTCGGCTAGGGGTGAGATATCTGCCTCGGGTTTGTGTCATTGTATTAATCTTGACAAACTGTTCAAAACGAGGGGTCACTCAGTAGGGGTAGCTATTTGAAAAAAGTCAAGGTTAGGGGGTTAAAAAATATTTTTGATTTAAAAGTTTACGGAACATCAACAATCAATGCCACAAACAGAATATTTCTATCCATTTCGTTTTTAAAAATACAGATTTGTTTTCATTCTTAATTTACACACATTGTATATAGTTGAGAACCCTCATCGATTAATTCTTGTCATTTAACGTACGGTGAACAAAATTTAAAAGCACAATAAACTAATAATATTACGCATGTTTATTGGTACCACCACATATGATATAATACTTTTGTTAGTATTATCATAGACAAAAAGAATTCTTTTTGTCAATGTTATTATCCATCGAACAAATCCTTTACTGCTATCTAGTTTTAAACATAAGTAGTTGTACAATGCTTCAGTAGCCTCAGACATTAATTCGCTGACATAATCCCTAACACATTTTATAAATGCGTAATGGTTTTGATTATTTTAAATTGTTCTCTGTAAATGTTTTCATATTTCCTGAAAGGTAATAATACTGGCAAACGTAAATACAAGAATATATAATTCCTACTTTCCAGGTCTAAACAGTAAATGTATTGGTACTAGCTAGCATTTGTAAATCAGAGAGAATATTCTACTGTTCAAGTTTGTACAGCAAACATTGTAGGTTATCCATTCAGTTTATACGGCTAGTATTTTAGTATTTACCTATAGTAAATCCAAGGCAATTTCTTACTTTTCAAGTGTGTATGTAGAGTAAGTTTGTTGGTAACAGTAAACCTATAAATAATTGTGCTCTCTATTGAAACGTCAAATCTGTCGACGCCAGCAAGTGTAAAGACGAGAATAATCTATTCATCAAGTTTGTGCACCAAGTCTCTCGATACTGATTGAAATTAAGGGATATTCTGCTTTTGACATGTCTATAACGGAACGATACAGCAAATTGTCAAACAGTCTACCTAATGAGGTAGATATAAACAGTTTTACCTCCATCTACGTTGCAAGGTAAAGCTGCCTCTGAACTGGTCTGGAGAAAACTCTATTTTGTTGCTTCTATCGGTAATTAGCATGTTTAATTACCCAACTTGACAGAGTAAATATAGTTTAGGTTGAAAACCTGCGCTACTGGTTTTGTTGTAAACAAACGGTGTTTTACCCATGCATCTGTTATAATAACATTTGCCTGGACATATTGTTGAAACGACTTTAGTCTATATTTATTTATATGTATGAGCACGAATGTAATCATCATGATTTTAAACTTAGTATCAAAATTACATCAGTTATCAATCATAGTATGCCTATTAGGCTATTCTAAGATGCAACACTGGCTCAATTTGAGGCAAAGATAACAAATTGAAGGATGAGTGTAAAATGAATTATGAGAAAGATTTGCTAATGTTTGAAACCGTACTGAGTCATTGTTTTATTGTTTATACTTTGTTAATAAACTAGGGGTGGTGCTACATTCCAAATCATAAATAATAAGAGCAAAACAGCGCAGAAAACCTAATTGTTAACATATAAAACCTCCAAATACTACAGATGAATTATATGGATTTATAATACGTTAGACACAAGAAACCAAACGAAAATGTTAATTCTTCAATTTTAAGTACAAATTGACAAATATTAAATAGCAGCATAGTAGCTTGTAGCAATTATCTAAAACATTTTGTTATATTATGTTATTTATCTTGTTACATTATGTCGGCCTTAACAAGACTACAAGATCGGCGCGATCATAGTGCGCACTCATCCTACACATCTCCATTCATTAAAGTATTTAAGTTTCTGCACTCAACATTTTTTGGATGGATATTAAATTAAACTTAGGCTTATGTATGGCTCCGGCGGATGAATTTACTTAATTTGATTATTTTCTGATCCGTTAATGTGATAATTATTAATTAATTTTGTGTATATAGTATATTTATCAGCTAGTAAGTTACGCCTTAGGATAATATTTTTTTAATTGCGCAATTCCATCAAGTTTTGTACACACGTAATTCAAAGCATTAATAGAATATCTCAAATATTTTATCAATCATACTCTTCAACCTACAATTAGCCATATACAACGCGCGCGTTTTATAACACATCGGATAGTCTGACTACATAGTGCAAAATTGTCTGTGGATAATATGTAAACATGTATGTATGCTAGTTGTACTCACGTAGTTTAAGAGCCTGTGATGTAGAGAGGACAGCTGCAAGGAGCAAGTAGGACGCTGCCATGGCGGAGGTCGACGGGGCACTAAACACCAACACTAAACACTAAACACCAAACACCACTCACAACCGCGGACCGTCCACACTGCAACAATCGTCCGTAGCGTCGCGACCAAACTTCAGATCCAAGTTTAGAGTCCCCCGAAAGATTCGGTACCACGAATTGTTGTTGCAATAAATTTCTTTTCCTTGCAAAATAAAAATTCTACTACTTCTTTGGCTCGGCGCTAGAACGGTGGTAGAAGTAACAAAGGTGTCGCATACATTTTTGTTCAAGGGGCAACCTGATATTTGTGTTCATGGGTTTGGGAAAATACCATCCTCTGCTAACAAATCTATTAAAACTTTAAGAATGTTTTCTTCTCCCTAAGATTCTAACCACTTTATTATTAGACTGTGTTTATTGCTATAAATGACATCCGTCCGGTAAGAGGATGATCGATGATTTATAACTATCTACTAAATACAAGGGTTTTCTCTGTTACATTCATGTTTCACCCGTCTCGTCGTTCACTTGGTTTTATTAATCATTATTCAAGGATAGTTTGTGTGAAGTTTGGTGCAGATCCGTCAAAAGGGCTCCGCACCAGAGGGTTACATAACGCCGAGGAAAACTTTATGCTTAAATTCGAGTAATTGTCTTAAATCTTAGAGTTGTTTAAACACTTGTTAGAAACTAATTTGAAATATCTCTGTTTGCGTCGTCAAGGTTCACCTACATTATTTCTGCTCTTAGTTTTAATTTATAACTTATAATGAATGCTAAACGATCCGTTTCAATTCGAGAACATGTTGCAACAAAGTTTTTCCAGCATTGAGAATTAAAGAAAACTGTTGCCTTAGGCCTACTGATGACCTGTGTTTAGTAATTTTAGTTGGGTCATTTCATTTCTTTGATTTGAGACATCCCCCTAATCAAACGAATTTTCTTCGTGGATACCCTGAAAAGTGAGGTGATATCAACCATTTCATGTGCTCCATTTTCTGTCAACTGGACTGTCATAATCTGCTTTGAATAGGCTAAAGCAGCAACACCATTGAAAGTTGGTTAACGTATTTTAACGTGTTGTCTGTCAGTCTCACGTTTTTCAGTGGAGTTTCTCTAAATACCTGTCCCAACGTTTTGAAAGTATGGATTCATTTGTCGAAATAGGTTGGATAACTCTTGTAGCTATACGATTTGGATGGCAATTTTCGTATTCTCTTTTTGAACAGCGTATATTATTTGCCTTTCCTAAATCATAAAAATAAACTTGAGCGTAACAAACTCGATCGTTGAATACATAAACACTGATTCCTTCACTTATGTTTGGTCTTATATTGCCACTAAAACTTTCAATAGCAAATGAGTTGTTGAAACTTCTTATTTTTGACTTGAAATGTCTGGATTGTGTTGGTAAATTCAGTCAATAAACCTTGTACTGTATAAGTTTTTCCGAGGAACTGGCAACATAACCATGAAGTAAACAATCCATTTGCGTTTTTTCTAAATTGAAGTAGAGCGAGTGATACAAAAGTTTACAATAAAAACATAAGGTACGCCTAGATATGGTATAATCTTACTACTTGAAATTGAAATCATCATAGTCAAGGCATTAGTATAGTTTTGTACTAAATGTTTTGAAATATCTTGTTTGGTCTGTGTTAGAAGTAAACATTTCTTGCATGCATTCATTTGATCTGACATTAGGCAAGTTTACTTTACCACCGTAACAACACTCTTAGTACAATAAAAATATGTTTTGAACAAAAAAAAAATAGCACAACCGGGGAATTTGGTACAGATGTTGGGTGTACCTTCCTTTTGAACATACTAAATGTCCCCTAAAATTGAAGCTGTGCTACGGCCACCATGTTGGAAAATGGCAGCATATTTCTGTATTTTTCGCTATAGTGACATTATTATTAGAGATACAAGAAAAAGCTAAATATACAAAATGTAGGTCATCTAAAAATACACATTTTTTGTACTAACCATCTTTCTCTAAACCCAACGGTTTTTGAGTTATTTGTTATTAAGTATATTTAGTTTTTTTCTATTGATCAAAAACTAGTGTACCTGTTGCTCGAATTCGAGCAATTGCGAAGCATTACAGGCGACTCACGAAGATTATGGAAATACTCACGATCTACACAACAGTTAGATATAATCAAAATCTTTTGTAAATATCTTATCTTTTCTCAAAAAGCTTATCTTGTTTTTTAGTGTTTCTACAAATTTTTCCCTCTCATAGCCGCATTAGGTTGTCTATAATAACAATTAAAAATGAAAAAAAAAATATTTCTTTTCTTCTACTTGGTTGTGTTCTATGACTTTTTCTATGTTTCCATTGTTTGCAAATCGGCTATTTCAATGATTGCTCAATAAATGTAGCATATTGTTAATTCAGTTTTATTTTTAGCCTATATCAAATTGTCCAGGATTTCTCGCTTTTTTCCATTGTAATAATTTCACCAACCCAAGTTTCGTCTACAGATGCAATACGCCAAAGAATATCAAGAGTTACTGTGATATTAGGATTTTCCACTGATTTGGTAATAGAACATTATATTGCAAAACATGACACGATGCAGAAGAAAATCCAATTTAAAATCAGAAAAACCCATTGCAAATACTGTAGGCTACTTCATTTTGACAAATTCAATAAATCACAATTTAAATATTAACAGCTGATTCATTAAAAAGTAGTGTAGAATTATGCATATGGTCGTAATGTAAACAAATCTGAAGAGGCAACTTTAAAGGCTTCTGGGGCAGAGCCCCATGGGAATTTACCTCGTTCCTCTTTTGATGGCTCATCTACAGACCAAGACCTTTCTTTAGAGACCCCTACCAAGTTTCTACGCCCAGCCGTTCTCTCAAATTAGCTGTGACAAAAACCCCGTTTTCCTTCATAAGAATAAAATGGGATAGGAATTTAAAGGCCACTGGGGCAGAGCCCCAAGGGAATTCACCATGTTTCTCTTTTGATGACTCATCTACAGACCAAGACCTTTCTTTAGACACCTCTACCGAGTTTCTACACCCAGCCGTTCTCTCAAAATAGCTATGACAAAGAAAAACAGTTTCAAATTAATATATAGATAGGTGAAACACATGGAAATTGACCGTTCCTTTCAAGGATTATGATAATTTATCCCATTTAGTTACATAGTGTGATACTATAAAATCTTAAAATGTAAGCTTATTTTATGAGTAAAACAACTCCGCCACAGCAAACCTGCAGACTCAGCAAATTTCCATTCAATTGGATGTTTTATTAAATGTATATAAATAAAATTAGGTTAAACAGGTACCTAGGTTTGCTGCTACAGGTAGGTTATTATAGTGTGTTTTTTTTTTTGTAAAATATCAATAACTTAGTATACAATAACTAATTTCCCAAGTTTGATCATAATATATCTAAACAAGCAAACTACAACAGTTAACTAATTCATAAGAATAGCATGGGAGTTTGAAATTTAAAATTTACAAATTTGAATATACAAATTTTGGTTGTGTTTAATAAAATGATGGCAATTATTCGTTACAATTACAATATTAACCAAATGGGTTTTCAAAGGAGATGGAGCCTGTTATTTAAGTAATATTAATTCGTACCAAGCACCGAAAATATTGTATGCAGTGAGGTAATCTACCATATTTTGTAAAATACGCAATAGCCATATTAATATTTTATCCTCATTTTTTTCCATTTAATAGTTAACATTTTAGTATTTTGATGGCACCACCACACTAACTAACTATACTTGACATCCCATTGTAAATTTGGAAGGCTGTTCTTCGTGTCTAGTTCATGTCGGTGACTAATTAAGTATGGTATAGTATAGTTTGAAAACTAAGTATAGTTAGTTTTATTTATCAAAAATCGGTGAAACCCATCGCAATCGACGGTTATTTTCAAGGTTTACGACAATTATTCATCCCACTTAGTTGATATCATAGTGATAGTGGTAGGGCCATCAAAATATAAAAATGTTAATTTATTAAATGGGTAAAAATGAGTATAAAGTTTTAATATGACTATTGCGTACTTTACAAAATATGGTTTTTTGATTTTTTTTTAGGTTTATGGAATTTTTCTCTTATTTTTACTGCAGTATATGTGCTTCGTATATTTTTTCACTTCCAAAGTGAGTTGCATAGCAGAACCGTCGATGTACTGTATAGCAGAACTGGCAAATATTATTCATATCACCAAGTGAATGTGTAAATGGCTCTCTTTTTCTACTCTCCTCATACGCATAAGATATCTTATTATTAATTGTCTCCTACTCACGTTTTCAATATTTCTTCTTTGAACTTGAGGCATTTTCTGTTCTTCCTACAAAACTGATTACCGGTTTAACTTGGTCTTAACCTACTCAATAATACAAACATTAATATTTACTCCCAAAAAGCTAAGGAGTTTCTTTTATAATCAGCTGTTTTTTGTTTTTAAATTTGTTCTATGTATTTCTTATGAGGAAAACCCAACCGTTGAGAGAGGGCCTCACGCCCTTAGGAGTAGGAATTTCAAAATTCTAAAACCTTATTGCAAAACTACTTATTGAGACGAATCTTTTGACACCTTAAACATTGAAATTGGTCCACAAATAAGGGAGGAGTTGCGTTAACAAAAAATGGCTTCACGTATTATATAAAAAGAGTCTAAATAATATACAGCCGCTTATGTAACTCACTCAGGTATACAAATTCTAGACCACTTCTAGATGTGCCAGGGAGTTGAAATTTGGCACACTTGTAGTTCTTGGCCCCAAACCACCCATAAAATTCCAAAAAGTCGCATTTTCAAATTTTAACCCCCCCGAAATTTCGAATTTCCCACCCATGTTATTCTTATGGGGAATAACATTAAAAATGGCCGACTTTGGTGTGCCCATCTGAATGGTTTAGAAACGTGCTAGAGACTTCAAATTTGCGTAGTATTGAACTATGGGATCTTAAATTAACGGTAAATCTTGCAAAAGTCCCATTTTCAAATTTTAACCACCCCAAAAATCCAAAATGGCGGACCTCTGAAAACGATAAAACGCGTTTTTTTCAAAGGGCTATAGCTCGAAAACGGTAAGTTTGAAAGAATCTTAGCGAAAGGGAATTAAATTTTCTACAAAACCCTCTTAGGCGTTTTCCGGAAATCGCACTCCTTAACCTTCAAAAAACGCCCTACTTTCAAAATTTAGTAAATTTCTTTAACAATTTTTACGGTTTTCGCTATTTTTTCATATTTAAATAATTCTTTTTTGCAGACATTATTAGTGCTCTGTGTTCTCCTTAATTTACTTAAAATTTTACTCATTTAATGTTTTTTTGTATCTTTACTCCTTAACCCCCAAAACTTAGGTTTAATGTCAAAATTTAAAGGTTTTTTACCACTTTTACAAGCCCCATGTTGTTCTTATGGAGAATAACATTGAAAGTGGTCGACTTTGGTGTGCTCATCTGAACCGTTTAGAAACGTGCTAGAGACTTGAAACTTGGTATTATTGTAGTAGGGGATCTTATATTAACGGTGAAATGTGCAAAAGTCCCATTTTCAAATTTTAACCCCCCCCAAAGATTCAAAATGGCGTACCTCTGAAAACAAAAAAACACGTTTTTTTCAACCGGATGTAGCTTGAAAACGATAAGAGCTAGAAAAGATTTGAAAGGACCTTAGCGAAAGGAAATTAAATTTTCTAAAAAACCTTCTTTGGCGTTTTCCGAAAACCACACTTGTTAACCTTCAAAAAACGCCCTACTTTCAAAATTTGGTGAATTTCTTTCAATTTTTTACCAGTTTTCGCTATTTTTTCATACTTAAATAATTCCTTTTCCCAAATATTATTATTGCTTTGTATTCTCCTTACTTTACTTTAAGTTATACTCTTTACATGTTTTTTCGTAACTTCACTCCTTGACCTCCAAAACTTAATTTTAATCTGAAAATTTGAAGATTTTTTGCCACTTTTACGAGCCACATGTTATTCTTATGGAGAATAAGATTGAAATATAATTACTTTGGTATGGTCATATGAATCGTTTAGAAACGTGCTAGAGACTTGGAATTTGGTACTATTGTAGTAAGGGATCATTAGTTTATGGTGAATTTTGCAAAAGTCCCATTTTCAAAAAATTAACCACCCTAAAAATCCAAAATGGCGGACCTCTAAAAACGACAAAACACATTTTTTTCAATCGCCTATAGCTCAAAAACGGTAAGAGATAGAAAAGATTTGAACGGATTTTCATGAACGGGAATCAAATTTTCTACAACCCCTATTAGGCGTTTTCAGAAAATCGCAATCCTTAACCTTCAAAAAACGGCCTACTTTCAAAATTTTTGTAAATTTCTTTAAATTTTTACCGGTTTTCGCAATTTTTTCATACTTAAATAGTTTGGTTTTGCAAAAATTAATATTGCTTTGTATTCTCCTTACTTTACTTTAAATTTTACACATTACGTGTTTTTTCGTAACTTTACTCCTTGGCCCCCAAAACTTAGGTTTAATGTCAAAATTTGAAAGTTTTTACGAGCCCCATGTTATTCTTATGGAGAATAACATTTACCCCATAAAAACCACCATAAATCCCCATTCCCATGGTCCGTTCATGCTATAGATTTACTCTGGTTTACTTAAGGTTTCATCCCCCTATCGTATTTACAACCCCCCCCCCCCCCCAAATATTAAATACCCCCCAATGTTATTCTTACAGGTGCATAATTCGAAATCACGTTTACTCATTTCTAGATTGACTGGATATCTGAAATTTGGCATAATTGTCGATCTTGCGCCCTTTCCGAAAAGTGAAATTTTACAAATGTAATTTCCCCCCCCCCCCCACGCAATATACAATCCCCCCCAATGTTATTACTACAGGTGCATCGGTCTAAATCAATTTTCACGTTTACCCACTTCTAGATTATCTAAAGATCTGAAATTTGGCTCAATTGCAGGTCTTGCGCCATGGCCTATTTCTTTTTACCCCCAACCAAAAAAGGGGGCCTGGGGGCGGAGCCCCCAGCGACCCAAAGGCAAGTATAGATATACGGGCTTCTAAGTACTTCCTAAGCCACTACAGCACATTTTCTACCCTTGAACCATTTTTCAGCATACACATCTGTCAACTGGCAACAATAATCACCAGGGATTGATTATTTCCAAAGAAACTTAACTATAGAACGCAATTCATACTTGGAGAGTCAGTTAATTACTTTCACATTTTTTATATATGGCCAGACTAATCATCTCATAGCGGTGGGAACCAGCTAAATAAATACCCTAGTGAATGAAGTAAGGAAATAAATAAACAGCAACGTAAGAATGTCATTGATCTCAGATTCAAAGTGGCTTGCTTGGTTGTGACGAAAGCGCTGGTGATGAATATCGGATTGGAAATATTTCTTGTAATCAAAAAACATATTATCCTTATCTCGCATGCGGCGGGAGAAACAATAATTTTACAAATTTCTACAACACAAACTAAGTATAAACGTGAGCAATAGAGCTGTAAATGGTGTCATTCTGTTCACAAATGATGTCAGTAAGCGCTGAGAAGCCTCACTTTAGCGCAGCGTACATGCGAACTACGGAGCTATACGCAAAATTGGTTCTTACTTACAAAAAGCCCTTGTAAAATGCCTAATTCCTTAGTAAATAGCCCTAATGTAAATTTGAAATAAAAACTTAAGCAATATTTATGAATTCTTAATTTTATGAGGCCTTTTGCCAGCTATGCTGGCATCATCAGACACATCACAAAACTTTCAGCAGTGGTCGCCTGAGCTACGTGCGGTTGTTATGGAGTGTTTTTAAAAAAGTATTGAATTCATTCATTGCAACCCAGCGGCATCAGCAGTTTCATGCATTCTTTCAATTAAGGCAACATGAAGAAGTTCCGTTTCGTATCACAATAATGCGGTGGGTTATGTAATGGTAGGACGTTTTGGGGAAAATTTTAATTCAATAAAAATTTTAAAATTCATATTGTAAATGATTTTCAATCAATCAAACAATTGTAGAAGTATCAGTTACAGCAGTTGGTTGAGTAAAGTAGATTGCTGAGTGTAAGCAGTTTTGTGCTGCTTCTTGCATTCAGTAGGTTCAATACCCAACAAATTGCTGATTATGGCCTTACCCTCTCTCTTTGCAGCCAAATTGAAAGTACCATCGGTGGTAGACCTTTTACCAATAACTCACTCTTCCTTAGGAACCAGCGCCGGCTGGCCAAGGTAAGGCCGTTATACTCTTTTAATATTTTTGGACTTAGAGCACAGATAGATTTGAAATACTTATAAAGACACTTAATACTTGTCACATTAAATTCATACTTTTAATAACACAGAGTTATTTGAAATAATATATATAAATTTACCAATTTCTATTGCCTCTTTGGTTGAATAGTTATTTTGAGAATAATAACATAAACAATTATTTTTTGATTGAAAATCATATTTTGTCATTTAGTATTTGCCATTCATTGTTCTTGATATAATATCTATATTCTATTTTTCCCTTTATCTCTGTAATTATTAAAACTACTTGTGTTGAGAATATAATATAGAATTTTGTATAATCGAATCTCGAGTACCTTTCTTTGTGCTCACTGCCAAGCGAGCTCACCCCCCACAATATATTATATAATAATAAACATCATTTAAAAGAAGTAACACATAAAAACGAACCGTTACAGTTACTAACTTTAGAACAACGGCTTCTGTGTTAGAAAAGAAGCTGAAAGGCCGTCCAAAGGCAGATTGGACGCGAAACAACTAACATTCGATAGAGTTCGTGCTGCTGTGGAAAACAGTCTGCATAGGCCAGCCCGAAAACAAGCGGCTACCCGAACATGTCTGACTACGCAGTTACACGAATTTTGAGGTTCATTTTAATCCCTACAGATCAGTTTGAATAATAATCTTTTTAATTGTGTTATCCATACAGATAATCATGACGGAACCTCTCCATGTTGACCTAATAGAATAAAAGCATGGAACTGCCACTGAGTTGTAATGACTAATTTACTACTTTTTTTAAATGACTAAATAACAACAGCGCGTAGCTCATACAACCACTGCTCTATGAGTACAAGAAATGGCATTGTATAGGCTATCCAACGAGCCTACTCCTACCACCCTCAGACGGCCTGTCGCTTAACAGTGCGCTGAAGAAAATGGATCGTTTTTTTGCCGCACCCTGTAGTAGTATTTATTATATGTGACGCAATCTATTCCGACTTTGTCGGTCAACGATGCAGTATTCAAGTAAATAAGTTTTTTATTGTGTGTCTTTATTGCTTGGTTAAAGTAGCCTACTATAGTTTACCCCTGCATGTCCCAGTGTGGTTATCAAAAGCATCCTTTATATTTGTATTAACTTCTCATGAACACTACTTTGTTGTTCAGATAAAATGTAGAGTGCCATTTGTTCATGAATAACCTTACTATTCACATGTGAATGTTTAAAAAAATGTTGCATATACTTACAAAGGGCTTGATGTTATATTGGAAGAGCTTAAATAAGGAATTTACGTTAACAATTCAAACTTATTACACTGCCAATGAAATTCAAGTAAAGATATTTACTGAGAAATCCACTCTGAATATGTTTGCCCACTCCACTGTGTTATCTTTTGTGATTGTTAGAATTAGAGGAAATAAAATAAATCAGAATCACTTACAAATTTATAAAAAAGTTTATATTCTTTGACAACTTCATCATTCTATAACATTTTGGGAAAACCTAAACACAGCAAAATTTTTAAATATTTTAAACTTAAACTTTTCCTTTGTTTTAGAGTTAAAATAGAACTGATTTATAAAACCTTAGCAGATCAGATGTCTCTTATGCCACCTCGGGTGACCTGAAACAAACAAAGAAAAGCTTAAAACAAACAGAAGGAAGATAAGATGGCACAGTAGAGCTGGTTTATTGCATAGCTTTATAATAGGCATGGCTGTTACTGTGGAAATATTGTACCTGGACAAAAATAAAGGTTTCATATGGAAAGGAATGGTAGGGATGGACAGTCTGATGTACCTGGTCCTTGGTTAAAAACATTCATTTAGGCTTATGGTACCTGCTACCATACACTAAATAATATAAATACTTCTCATCCCATTGTAACATTTGAAGCTCATTTTTTAACCTCCTTCATGTTGGTAACATTGGGAGCTAGTGTCGACAAAATATGGTTACTATTGTTTTAGGGTTAATTTCATGATTTGTGTTTCTCTGAGTTATTGTTTATGATTAGGTTGTTTTATTTGGTTGAGTATTTCAACAGCTCAAGTAACAATAAACAAACCAGGATCCTAGTGGCCTGGAGCTAACAATAGAATTGTCTTCCACGATCTTCCATAATTGTCTTCTTTGATCCATAAAGATGACAAATCTACTAAAGGTCTATTTTTAAACCATGCTATGCTGCTAATAACCAATTGTAATTTAAAACGTTTGCTACTGCAATAGTACGAAATTTTCCATTCACATGGACCAGCGACGCACATATGCGACGGCCGGTTTCCACCCATAGACTGCCGTCGCATATATGCGACGGCTAGTCTCCCGAGCCGACGCATATTTGCGTCGGGGTTCTAATGTTATTAAAGTTCTTATATCTTTGTAGTGGTCTATTTGAAGGCACTGAATTCCCTGCAGTGGTCTACAGAGATGTCTGACACACAACTGCGTCGCTTGGTCTGTGGATATGATGATTGGTGACATCATATAATAGTTGGAAAAACTGGTCTTCACTTTTCTGCATCACTGTATGTATGTATGCAGTATGCTGCATTATCCTATGTAGCTTTTACATTTGTTCAGTTATAAACTGTTCTTGAATAATCTGTTTATTTTTTTACTGACTTTCACCTTAAAACACAAAAAAATGAACTGTCGCATATATGCGACGTTTAGTCTATTTCAAGAAAACTATGATAATTTTCACTATTGTCTTCGCTGTAGACCGGGCGTCGCAAATATGCAACATTACTAAAGGTTATAAAAAATACAAAAAAACAAGAATAATTTATTTACAAACACGATTGTAGCGTATTACAATGTAAATGATCACTGTTTTACAGGTTTTCGCCCGTGGTCTGTGTGTACTGTTATCCAAGTGACAGCCGGTCTATGTGTAAGATTCAAATGTATACCTCGGTCTGTGGCAATGACCGCGGCGTCGCATATATGCGACGCGCAGTAGCGAACGTGTTAAAATATATTCAGTAAAGGGGGCCAGTGTAAATTATGTAAATTAATAAAAATGTATAACAAATTTGCAGAAACAGTGAAGTCCTGTTGTTACAAATTTGACCTTAGCTTCTAATATCTAGACAGCACTGCTTCATCTGGATTGTGAAATACTCTTGGTACTGTCTGTGGGCTAACATTCACATAATTACGAACCTTCCTCCATTTGACTTTCAATCAAGTGTACCCATCTGTGTGAAAATCGGTTTAACATTGCCTTTATATTAGGGGGTTAACCGCATAACCTGCCAACAACTACTTTTGAATCTGAGATAAACGTCTTGTTCTTGCCAATATAAAGTAAGAATCGATTCTCTCTATGCTGACGGCAATTGGTAAAGGTGGATGACAGCAAGGGCGGGTCCAGGGCTAATTTTCGGAGGGGGCCATTCTATCGAGGGTGTGGGGCTATTTTAATTCTAGGCCAGCATGGCCACAACCTCTGGGGGGTTTGGGGGGTATGGAATACCCCCCCATTGTGGGAGGGGGTCCGGGAAATTTTGGAAAAGTTATACTTACAAAATCGATTTTAAGCACTCTGACAAAGAAAAAGTTAAATCTCTTGTAATCTGAAAGGGAGAGTTTAAATGCAAAACTTCCTTAAACCATTCATAAACCTTTTTCTGTTCTTACCGGCCCTGTTATTTCACCTATCTATTTTTAAATGTTTAGTTTCATGATGTCGACGCGCATTGTATTCCTTTAACAATGATTGTTTCGGAAAATAAAAAAGTTCTCCGCTTAATACATTTTTGACGTTTTTAGTGCTGTTAAAAATCGACCATCAATCTTAATTTGCCTAAATAATAATAAACTATAAAAAAATAAGTTAAGGTTCTAACTAGCTACACAGTAATAAGCACTGTCTAAAAATATATAAATTTGAAATCTTTATTTTAAAAAATAAGTGTAGCAAAGGTATGTTTGTGTAAAAGAGAGAGGTCCATACGACCCGCTGGTGGCGCCGGCCTCAGTATCCCACCATTTTGAATGGTGGGCACGTCCTGTTTTTCCACCACACAGCGCACCAGTATCCAGGGGAGTATTAGATTAAGCGTACTCCGTATTAAGTTATAATATAGATGGTATCTGTACTACATTTCCCAGCCAGGCGGGTGAGCATGCAACACTGCGACGTTGATGAGGTATACACTCGAACGCACATGTCTACGTGAGTGAATACTCTGTAGAAACGACAGTGTGGTAGTCAGGTAGACATCGGCAACGTCGCACTCGTAGTACTGTAATGGCGGTTGCTCAATCATGAGTCTAGACTAACCTAACTTAGAAAACAGCTAAGCAAAGCTTAAGCCTTAAACGCTTCCATTACTTACCATTATAATTTTGTCATGTGCTTGTGCTTAAGTGGAGGGATGCACATATGTTGAATCTTATAAAACTGTGTTACTTATAAAAAAAACGTAACAAAACAAATACTCAACTGACTACTGAGCCGCATTTTTTTATGGTGGGTATAGTACAGGTAAAATAATACAAAAACACTCCATATAAACAACAAAATTTGTACATTCATGAAATTTCACCTGTGAGTTACTAATAATATGAGAAATGAAGATCCGATGAGTCCCCAAAATTTTGGGCGTGCTAAGGCCCTTTTTGGGGCCCTTTTTGTTCCGAAGGGCCCTTAATCCTGAATAATTTTGTTTTTACGTTTAAGGTCGTGTGAGGTGTGGTTTTCGATGGTTTTAGTTATTTTAAATCGATTGGGACTAGTTTTATGTGTATTAAACCACTCCGTACAGGGTGTTTAGAAATATTATTACTTTTTACGATATTTAAACATTTATTCATAAAGTGATAAAATTAGTTACCTCCATGCATGCTCTATATAAAAGGGGATTATTGAAAATAACTAATTCTTTACTATATAAGAGGGAAGGATCTCAAGGAGTAAGAGAAAATATTAAATACCCCAGTCACAGCAAACCTGCAGACTAAGCGAATTTTAATTTGCCCGATTTTCAATTAAATCTAATAGTTTAATGAAATGAGGTCTAATAGTTTAATGAATACTTAGGTTTGCTGCTACAAGGAGGCTAATAAAGTGTGTTTATAGTAACATCTTAATAGCCTAGTATAAAACAAATAAATTTGACAAGTTTTACTAAGACATATCTATAAACAAACAAACAAAATCATTTTACACTAATCTCCTTAAGAATAACATGGAATTTTAAATTTACTATTTTTGAATTTTATTCGTAACTAACACACTTACAAAACACGTTAATATACTAAATTATTTGTTTTCTTTGAGCTCTTTAAAATGCTGTAGAGAAAAATTGGGAAACTTTGTCTTTTGAGGGTCAAAGATTACATATTTTTACCACATAAAACCCTGTTCCATGGACCGATTATGCCGGTTTCGTTAAAATTGAACCTAAATTACTCGAGTTATCATGTTTATGGACACGTATATAACATGGATATATTATATTATATATGGATATAAACACATATATACTATTTTGAGTAGATGGTGCTTTAGGCTTCTGGGGCCATCGAAATGAAAACGTAAATCGGTTTCGGGTCTATGTTTTACCATGAGACCTTCGGTAATAGCTTATCTCCTAAATGGGATGTTCGCTAAAAGGGGATGGATGAAGTTTCACACTATAACATGATAACATAGGTTACTAAGCAAAAATTTCAACTTTTAAGGTGGTGTGAATAATCTTTCAACGTGTTTATTATGCAAATCTATTAAGACCAATTTCAAATTGATATGTATTTTTCTAAGGTAGTATTTAAGTTATTTTTTTACATTTATTAAAAATTAAAACAATTGCATTTGTATATAACCTTACATTACATATTAAAATGAAGTACTTAAACTAAAGCTATTTTTCTACAATTTATGTAGTATCTCTCTTTACAATTTCATTATCACAATAATTATTCTCAGACGACTCATTAAAAATTTTATTATTCTTAGCAACTTGTCCATCTTTACTGATTTTGAAGTTGGTGTTCAAGCAGGATTCCCCTTTACAAACCTAAAACCTTGCATATTGCAGAACAGGCAACACCAATCTTAAAGCATGAACAATGTGGTGCAAAAACACCTTTCATACATACTGACGTTTGCAACTTGTATCTTAAGTTCCTCAAACTTATTTTCAATCAATCCAAGTACAGTTATCTTTCGTGGTTATGACGACCAGGACAGCACTAAGACATCAGAGCAGCATTGTCGGCACAAGCATTTTTGTCCTGAACAATGGGAACGAGGTTTATGGGGTAAAAATTGGGTTTTCTTATTTACTTTACCCTCAAAACACAAAGTTTCCCAATTTTTCTCTAGAACATTTTAAATAGCTAAAAAACAAATAATTTAGTATATTAACGTTTTTTTGTATGGTTATTAGTTACGGATGAAAATACTAAAATTGTAAATTTAAAATTCCCATGTCATTCTCATGTAGAATAGTGTACAATGATTTTGTTTGTTTGTTAATAGATATATTTTGATCAAACTTGTCAAATTTATTTGTTTTATACTAGGCTTTTAATATTTTACTATAAACACACTTTATTAGCCGCCTTGTAGCAGCTAACCTAGGTTATCATTAAACGCAACGCTATTTTAGATTTAATTGAAAATCAAGTAAGTAAAATTAAAATTCGCTTAGTCTGCAGGTTTGCTGTGACGGGGGTATTTAATATTTTCTCTTACTCCTTGTGATCCTTCCCTCTTATATAGTAAAGAATTGCAGTTATTTTCAATAATCCCCTTTTATATAGAGCATGGAGGTAACTAATTTTTTTTCACTTTATGAATAAATGTTTAAATATCGTAAAAAGTAATAATATTTCAAAACACCCTGTATGGAGTGGTATTTGTTTTATACTAGGCTGTTAAGATTTTACTATTAACACACTTTATTAGCCTCCTTGTAGCAGCAAACCTAAGTATTCATTAAACTATTAGATTTAATTAAAAATCGGACAAATTAAAATTAGCTTAGTCTGCAGGTTTGCTGTGACGGGGTATTTAATATTTTCTCTTACTCCTTGAGATCCTTCTCTCTTATATAGTAAAGAATTACAGTTATTTTCAATAATCCCTTTTTATATAGAGCATGCATGGAAGTAACTAATTTTATCACTTTATGAATAAATGTTTAAATATTGTAAAAAGTAGTTAATATTTCTAAACACCCTGTACGGAGTGGTTTAATACACATAAAACTAGTCCCAATCGATTTAAAATAACTAAAACCATCGAAAACCACACCTCACACGACCTTAAACGTAAAAACAAAATTATTCAGGATTAAGGGCCCTTCGGAACAAAAAGGGCCTTAGCACGCCCAAAATTTTGGGGACTCATCGGATCTTCATTTCTCATATTATTAGTAACTCACAGGTGAAATTTCATGAATGTACAAATTTTGTTGTTTATAAAACTCTATTTTACCTGTACTAGTAGTAGTATGTTCTGTATGACTGACGCACTGACGTGAGGAAGGCATAGGATGGTGGGAAACGGGGATGTGCGCGGCAATTTTTAAGTCAATTTTTCAAATTATAAAGCTTGAAAAAAATAAAAAAATAACTGATTCTCGGGGGGGGGCCATGGCCCTCTCTGGAACCGCCACTGGATGACAGACAATTGTTCAGGTGAAAGGTAACTTACTGCAGTCTGCAAGATGAATATTAAGCTGGGGCCAGTATTTTTTTGGTGTTGCCTTACTATATGCCATTCTACAGTATTTTTTAGTATATTTGCTAATGACACTAATTATGTTAGGGGCATGGTACGAGAGGAAGGCCAAACAAAGCAAGTATCGGTTTTCGGTACAATAAGCTTTTATTTTTGAAATCGCAGAAAGGATCAGTAAATGTTGCATGAAGGAAGAAAACTCCTGATACTGATATCTTCACGATTGCAGAAGATGATTAAGATGTCCCCTTGACAGCGTCATGTCCCCTTTTAAATTATTTCTTAGACACCCCAGAAAAAAGATAATGTCTCCTCCACTCCTCTTGGATAAATCCATGATTTTGCAGAAATTGCAGAAGTAATGATTTCTCTCAGTACATTGGGACACCACAATCACAGATTGAAGATGATGACATGGTAATGAATGCACACTAGGCCTAATCTAATTTTGTGGCTAGAGCTTATAATAATTTTTACACGCTGACGTAACTATTGTGCCTTTATCACATTAATATATTTAATAATTATCATAATGTTACACAACACTACAAACAAAATGCTTTTAAATGAACTATTATTATACTATTATTATGTCTATTATTATACTCACAAAAAGTTTTAAGATGGAATGAAACAATTTAATCGTTTAAATGATATCAGAATGGGTTAACTGAATATTAACTGAATATTTATGAATAGTATTATTTATGTTTTAGAAGTTAAGTGTTTGGAAATGACTTGCTAGTCCTAAATTTCTCTCTCGCATAGACATTTTTCATTTCATTATTTAAATTCAGGAATACGAAGATTTGAGAAGTCACTAATCACTTATTTTGGTATTTTAATAATTTTAACTTTTTTTAAGCAGGGTTCTTGGAATATTAAAGAAATTCCAAGAGCTGTACGATGTGAAATTTAGGCAAGGCCAATAAAAAATTTTAGATGTCATTGCAATCACAGGATTTCTCTGGCTTGGCCCGACAGCAGTGGATAGTCATAATTTCACTGCTAATTCAAAGTCACAAAGTACCGGTAAGAGAATTAACAATTCTTCAAAATATAGTTGTATCAACAGTTTTCTTGAATCAAGGATCAGAATCAACCCTCATTTAAAGGTTTCACAATGAAATTTACAAACTTTTTACAATAAACAAAAAGTACAGCTCATTCTTTGTTATAGATTTTTACCTTACCGTAACGAATGCCTAGGTAGAGCTCTTAGATAGCTGAAAATGAGCGTTTGGGCAGCAAAAAATAACTTTTTTGTATTAAGTAGAGTAGACGTTCTAAACATTATTTAAAAAAATTAAGAACCCAAGTGGGGAGTAACAGTCCAGGTCTACCCTACAGTTAGCTTATATAATTAATTACATGGGAATATAGGCTAATATAAATGTGTCTCAGTAAGATTACCGTATATGAAAGTAAAGTTTACTAGCAACAATTCCATAGCCTACCAACCTTAAATTCAGCGGAACTGTTCTGCAGATTGGGGCTTTTGAAAATGACTCCAGCAAATTGAGATGTTGATGGCAAGAAACCAAGAATTAGTCTGTTGTTTACTAAATGGCCAAGACATTCTCCGAGGGCTGGTACAAGCTGGTCTTCTCCACGGGAAATGCGAGTTGTCAAGTGGTTTGTAACAACAACCTATAACAGACACATTTGGTAAATGTAATTGTACATTAAATATCCAGTTTACAGTAGGACAGACTACGTAAACCAACTTGTATTCAAATAATACATAGCAAGTACCGGTAGAAAGGAGACTTGTAGGCCAACCTAACTTATAGGCCTACCTTAATAGTTTATCAATAGGTACTTCTAGTCTTAGCCAAGGTATCTATTCTTCTAAAGATGTGAAATTCTGAATCAGGCCAACTGTACATTTGTCACTGGTGTTCAGCCGTGAAATTTTTTACACTATTTAAAAATGTACTTTAATACTTTCTTATTAAATGGCGACCATACAAAGTAGGTATTTTAAGCCAAGTATGAATGGAGATGAGTGTAGGATGAGTGGGGCGATCTTGTAGTCTTGTTAGTGACTAAGGCCGACATTCCTTACACAGCTATTAATTAATAGCCCATACACCTAATGGCAACTAAGGGGCCTACAGTTTATAGTGGAATCCGAACCACATTTTTAGGTGCCTTGGTAGGGCTATATACGAATTGGTCTAATTATCGAGATAGTACTGCGGATAGTCGTAGTACTCACTAGTGCAGACGTTAATCCACACCAGGGAGTATCGCATCCACAGTGCATACCTATAAATATCCACAATTTGTGACCTCCTAGTAGCTGGATTACAGGACCACCTGTCCAAGTCTGAATTGAATTAACAGCTATGCCTAACGCTCAATTAAACTTGACACTCTAGCATATTAATTTAAGTTAGTCCTAAACTACTCCACCAGGTGAGTTGTAAAATATAGAATACAGAGTTAAGTTCTAAGCTAACTTAACTTAGCCTATGTTACCTTAATATTTTAGTTTGTTGGGTTTTTCATTATGACCAATAACTTAAGTAAAGGCCTATCTTGTTGGTCTTTGAACATTGACACTTTGCGGTTTTAAAAGGTAGCCTAGGTTACTATTGAAATTCGAGTTACCGTACTCAGTTTAAATAATTTAGGTCTACATTTAACTTAACTTAACTTGTTAAGGCCTACTCATGCTTAAATTCTTTTTTTTAGAAACTGGCTTAAAGATTTTATGAGACAAACTTTAAATCAAAGACTAAATCTGTATTTAGGCTAGGGGTACCGGAACTATGCTATGATTAGGCCTATTAATGCAGCCAAATAATGTTGTGAGAATATCACAAAGTCAGCACTAAAAAATAACTTACCGGTACCCTATCGAGTTATAATTCTGATGATTTATTCAACTCAATAGTTTTGAGTGCCATTTTCAAAGCCCCATCTCTACTCTTGTTGCCACCAATAAACCCAGAGTGATGAACAAATATACATCCTTCAATCCCAGCGATTTTGGACAACTCCTCATCACGCAATCCTTGCCATTCATGATGAAGAAACTGGCGGCATACATAACTTCCAGCATTGACTGATACTGCTTGACATCTCCAATTTCGGTGACTATCAGAAAAAATTACAAACAAGATGGGATTTTCAATGCTCAATTCTTTCTCAAGATTGAAAAAATGCTCCTTCCAAGGGCAATGTCCCTCCAATTCAATGATTTGCCCACTCGGATCAACACTAAATCGCTTTGCAATAGCATTAGCTACCATACTTCTTGCTGGCCACCAAATTGTACTTGCTCTGTTTACTTTGCTAATAAACTCACTTCCAACATATTTCTGAGCCTCAGAGAACGATGCTTCTTCGTCATATTCACTGTCAGGAGTGTTCCATTGCTTGTTAAACTGGTGACATCGGCTACTCAAATTGGTTGTAATCCGATACTTAGGCTCACCATCGAACATAGGGATGCCATTATCAATTCCATCAATTTCTTGAATGAAATTCTCATACACATGATCAAAGACAGCTTCAACTTCATCTAGGCTTGTACTATCACCTAAAATTTTCTTGATAATGTCCTTTCCAAAGTGGCAATAAACTAGTCCGGCACTGCTCAACTTTGTGGTCCACTGTTTACCTGGGATGATAGAACTCATGCTTTCATTGAAACCTTTTTGATGGTGGTCAAATCGGCATTTTTCTGGATCATATTCATTGCCAACATCAATAACTATGTCACAATCTTTTAACACGTTATCATCGCGCGATCTAACAATATTTGAGTCAGGAAACAATAGCTGTAACATGTAAGTTCCCAAAACCTCATCACAATGAAATACGCCATTGTGAGTTCCAATCTTAATTGGACTTTTCTTAAAGCGCTTGAAAATTGTAGAATACATGACGATAATTAGTAAAAATTATGATTTTACACTTATGCTAGTTGTAGGTTATGTTTCTAGCATAACCCTTCCTTGAGGTAAGTAGGCTAAAATATCCAAAAAACAGTTGTATGGACAGTTATTAAGAGTTATATAATAGAGCAAGAATACAAATTAAATAAAATTATATGCTAGCTTCTCTGAAGCGAAACCCTTAGCACCACAGTTGTTTAAATTAAAAATTGACGTAGCGGTAAACGTGAAATTCAATTTAACTGAACATAACATAACCTCAAAATAAGCCCGGTTAATTTTTTAAGCAGTCAGCTGTTTTTTCATCTCTGTAAAGAACTAAGTTGGGAAGGCTCAATTGTGTTATCATGCAACTGTTTATAACAACTGAGGCGTAACTTACACAATTTTCCCTAAGTCATAGATTAAACATACTCAAGTATTATTTAGTAAATGAATCCAGTGATATCCTTAAGGAAAGTAAATGATTTAATTATACAGGCCAATCAATTGAATACCAACCATTAGTAAAGTACCTATTTGAGAAAGCAGTTGTTAATAGATTATGGAGTTTCCTAGAGTCCCAAAATATTTTATATGAAAACCAGCACGGATTTAGAAAAAACAGATCGACAACCAGTGCCATGCTTGGCAAGGCCGTAGCCAGGGAGGGTTAGGGGGTCAAACCCCCCCCCCCGAAATCCCGAAATTTAGTAGTAAAAATTAACACTTAATTAACAGGACCGGTTTTGGCAGCACGGATCAAACCAACGAACATCACTTGTCATTACATCGCTTGTCATTACACTTGACTCCAAAAGAACAAAACATATCGCCTTTAAAATCACAGTAGGTTTCACCTTCTGATAAATGTGGTGCTCTGAGCATCTTGACTACAACGAATAACACAGACAGGCTGAGGAAAATATGTCTAGACCACAATGTATAATATGTATAACATTGCAGGGATGGAATGTATGTAATTATGTATGACTCAGTGGTAGAGTGGAGTAAGGGTGGTTCGTAGGCAGATAACCTCGTGGGGTATGTATGATTCATCGTTCGAGCGTCCGTGCTGCCAAAACCGGTCCTGGGCAGGGAGAACTCCCTGCCTGCGGATCGATAGCGGTACCTACAAATTTCACGCACTATTGCGTTTCAGAAAAGCTTTGATTATACGTCCATTTTAATTATTAAAGACCACTTAGCTAATGTGCAACTCAACTTTTCATTTGTATCTTTTTAAGAGCTTTATTTTAAGCTTTCATCGGAGTTTCTAACTTGTCCCGTCCCTGAAATAAAACGCCTTTACAAACACCATAACAGAATTTTTATTTACTGACGAAAATGCTAAAACTTATAAATATGCTTTATAAGTATATGTTCTAAAAGCTATAAAAGTTTCATGACGATTAGATAAGTAGTTTGTTTGTTATAAAATGTTAAAGTCGCCCGTTGTTGGTAAAGCGCCGAAAAACCTGTACTTTTTTCATTCAACCCGCTGAAAGGCTGAGTTGAAACTGAATAAAAAATTTGAAACCAACACACATAAACGCAGAAATAAATTCTTAAAATTATGATGTAACTTGTATTTTTCTACGTCTACTGGTTACGTTGCAATAAAAGCTCAAACTCGAGTATCTATACTTTTTGACCCGACAGTAGGTTTAATAAAAAGTGTAAGTTAAATTAGAAACCACAACGGAGGATTATATTTTATATTTTATTATGTTTTACAGTAACTATTCATATTTCATATAATAATTCTATTAATAAACCTGATCTATTAAAGAGGTAATAAAACTACGAAGGTTCAACAAAAATACTTTACTCAAACAAAACAGTTTTATCTTCCTGTAATATTGTACATAGGCCTATGTAACTATATCAACATTTTAGAAATAATCATGGGAATTGGTGTTTGAATGAAAGTTTTTAAATCTGTTACCCACAGTCATGACCTGACCCAGTGGTGGTTCCAAGGGGAGGGGGCTTCAAGGGGCTGAAGAAAGTACCAAACGTGTTTAGGAGGATATGGCCGTAGCCTAGAGTATGGTTACAAATTTATGAATGCAATCGTCATATTTTTTTATAATTTGTCATAATTTGTAAATTTATACTTGCTTATGACAAACAACAGGTTAAACGGTAGTTTTTTTTTAGGATTAGAGACAGTTAGGCGTTAAAAAGTCACTAAACTACTTTAAAAATAATATAAAACATTTTCCGGGGGAGGACCCCCAGACCCCCCTCTCGTATTGGGGGGGTGTTCCACACCCCTGACCTGACTCCCCCCCCCCAAAAGTTTGTCCTGGCTACGGCCTTGATGCTTGGTCTCATAAACAGAATGGTGAGGGATATGGATTAACGTCAGCAAGTAAGTAGCAGGGATGTTATTTAATTTTAGCAAAGCATTTGACCTCGTGAACCATGACATACTATTGAGCAAAATGAATGATCTGGGTATTAGAGGAATCGCTCATGCCTGGTTTTCTTCGTAGGCTACCTGAAAGACAGTCAACAGTTTGTTACGATACTAGCTGTAAATAAAAGTGGCTACTTGTAGAACCACTTCCTCTTCAGAAGCCCCAGTCAGCAGAGGTGTGCCCCATTAGGGTTCCGTCTTGGGTCCGATTCTCTTCCTCATCTTCATAAATGATGTTCCATCCAGCTTGAATCTAGCAATTACCTTTGCCTATTTGCCGATGACACTTCTATCAACATTTCAAATCCTAGTATGCTGGCCTTAGAACAGACCTTATTTCTTGAATCCAACTGCCTGCTTCAGTGGTATGAGGATAATCAACTAATCTCTTGCTTGAATGCCAACAAAGCCACACTCCTTCAATTTAGCATTTCTCAGCATCGCACATCCACTGACACTGACATACACGTTCTTCTTGATGATACCACTATTTGCCCCTCCCCAGATGTTAAGTACCTTCTTGACGAGAACCTAAAATTTCACAAGAATATTGATCACATTTCAAACAAGATATCTGTAGGGATTTTCATGCTCCGCACTCTTAAACATACCGTTTCGTCCGAGGTTCTCTTGACAGCCTACTATGGACTTGTTTATCCTTATCTGACATATGCTGTACCTGTCTGGGGGCGTGAAAGCCAATGGACTCAGTTCATATTTAAGCTCCAAAAAAAGGCTCTACAAACTGTTTTTTCCCTTCACCGTCGTCAATCCTGCAAAGATGTCTTCAGATCACATAGTTCTAAACTTTCCCTTCCATTTACATTTTAGAAACATTATCATTTATTAAGAAAACCCAATCATCATAGCTCTCCAAGTATCCATAGTTATCCTCTCCGCAACAATAATTTCAATCTTTCAGTATCACGACACTCAACCACTTTCTTAAAAAAAAACTTCCACTTCAATGCAGTAAAACTTTTTAATGACCTCCCTCTCCCTTTGAAATCCGTACAGGACATTGGAAAATTCAGGAAATGTGTTAAGTTGTCCATCTTGATAAATAAGGTCTGCAACAGCGTCCGGGAATTTGCTGGTAGTCTTTAACATTATTAAACATCACAACCAAACCATTTGTATATACAGTATGTATTTACTATAGTTAATTAATCTGTAATAATTGTAATTTCTTGAATTTTGGCCAATGCAATGTGTATTGTTAAATCTAGGTTAATATAGGACTTTGACTTTGAAAGTCAAGTCCAAATGGCCCTTTCTTACACCTAAGCTGTTAATAAATTTAATACGAACAAGGAGTTAAATACACGTACAATACAAAATAGAAATAATGGAAATAAAAAGAAACTACTAAATTATTCAACCTATAGAAAAGATATTAATTGGTACAAAATCTTTGCATATATAAATACTACACTGAAAATGAAGAAAATATTACAATTCCTTGATCTCTATTGTAGAAGAGGACGAAGGTAAAATCTATTAAACATACTCCCTTGAGTTGGTTAGTCTACAGTAAATAGTACAAGGTTCAAGTAGTGTTTTAGTTCTTGGTACGTTCTAAGCATAATTTTTTCATGACGAAAAAGGAAAGTACAGATTCAAGAATATCTATAGTAATATTGGTTTTATTTGGGTAATCTGTAGAATTCTGGTGGTGTAAATGAAGAGGTTATAATGTTAATTTATTCCTCTTTAACTTGCAGAAGAAATAGACATAGGATATCAAGAGTATAGGCTATATTTTTTTTAATTGATATAATTTTTCAATGATATTGTAATTTATCAACATAGTCCTGGAGGCAGCTCAAACTCTGTTTATAATAATCCAAAAAATAATTTTACCTCACACACAATCAAATATCTTAAATAATTAATACACCCTTTATAGAATTTACAAATCAAACTATTTTTTTACTCTAAAACCCTCTGAACTTACCCTTACAAACTCCCTGCACAAGTCACAATCAAAAACACACTTACCGCCAATTTGTAGCGTTGAGCAAGATCTTCCAGATGTTTTAGCATTTTACATATTGTGACAGTTCGTTTCAGCATATCACTCAGGTGAAGGAAAGGAAAAGCAAGACTGTCAATGATTATGAGTTTCACCTGGATGAGAGAACATTGCATTATTGAATAAATCTGAAAGAGAACTGTGGGAATCAGTGTTGCTCTTCAATACAAGTCCTTCAATCATCGTTCATTTCACTATTTCAGCTGTGTATTGGCTAGGTTAAACACTACACGGGGTAATTTTCCAAAATAAAAAAGAAAAAGGGTTTTTGGCTAGGACAAAAGTTCAAATCCTGCTAGTAAATTTAATTCATACTTTGCTCGTTTCAGATGTTCATATGTTCATTTACACATATTTTAAAATGAAACCAAATATAATCCTTACTACTAAATCTGTTTTTAAGCGGGGGGGCGCCAGAATATTGTTCGCTTACCGCAGAACAATGTCTAACTAGAACTGGCCGTGGGGTACGTTTAGGTAATTTACCATCTTTGCTCAAAAGGCGATGAGAGTCTCTTACATTTTCTACAGCCTCTTCAACAGAAGTTATCAACCAAGTGCAGCGGAGTAAACTGGGTTGGCTTACACTACATGTAAAATACCCAGCTTGTAAACTTGTGACGATGTTGGTTTTTAAAAAATGTCTTAAAAATGGTTTCACACCAACCATTTAATTTAGAAACGAAATTGCATTGTATAACTTAGCTTGATAATGTACGTTGTGTTAACTCAGACTGTGAACACTTATTTAAGCTACCTAGGATACAAAATCAATGATATATTTTAATGTATAATCAAATAACATGTTGAATGGTTTGTAATGTATAAAAAACTATTACAATAGCTCCAAACCTATCACTAGTGTAATTTTCTAACATATTTTAGTGAAATTATAATCAGGCAAATGGAAATTCGATTAGTCTGCAGGTTTGCTGCGGCAGGGGTATTTTATTACTGTTAGAATCTTAATTATTTCCTATATCCATGAATAATTTTACAATGACTTATTCTCTGTAAAAGTAAAATATTATAACGACATTTCAAAAATAATAGAACAGCCTCAGTTAGTATAGATCAAAACATAAGCAAATGACGAAGTACTTGCAGCCAGCAACTCTCCGGCTCTACTGTGTCCGTCTATACGCTGCTTAATGCAGGCGTAAAACTGGTAATAAAAGAGGGGACAGAACTAGTGCAGTAAACTTAGACTAGATACACTAGATAGACTAGAAACTTAGACGGGGAGTAGACTAGTAGACCAGTAGTAATGGTACAATTTATTTAACTCAAGGGTCTCAATCTTAGCTTTCCTCTACTATAGAATCTAAGATCCATGGGGAAGATGATTAACACGTTTGCTACTGCAATAGTACGAAATTTTTCATTCACATGGACCAGCGATGCACATATGCGTCGGCCGGGTTCCACCCATAGACTGCCGTCGCATATATGCGTCGGCTAGTCACATTAAAATAGACTGCCGTCGCATATTTGCGTCGGGGTTCTAATGTTATTAAAATGCTCATATCTTTGTAACGGTCTATTTGAAGGCACTGAATTCCCTGCAGTGGTCTACAGAGATGTCTGACGCACAACTGCGTAGCTTGGTCTGTGGATATGATTATTGGTGACGTCATATGATAGTTGGAAAAACTGGTCATTACTTTTCTGCATCACTGTTTGTATGTATGCAGTATTCATGCTGAATTATCCTATGTAGCTTTTATATTTGTTCAGTTATAAACTGTTCTTGATCAATCTGTTTTTTATTTTACTTACTTTCACCTCAAAACACAAAAAATGAGCCGTCGCATATATGCGACGTTTGGTCTATTTCAAGAAAACTATGATAATTTTCACTATTGTCTTCGCTGTAGACCGGGCGTCGCAAATATGCGACATTACAAAAGGTTATTAATAATACAAAAAAAACAAGAATACATTATTTACAAACACGATTGTAGCGTATTACAATGTAAATTATCACTGTTTTACAGGTTTTCGCCCGGGGTCTGTGTGTACTGTTATCCAAGTGACAGCCGGTCTGTGTGTAAGATTCAAATGTATACCTCGGTCTGTGGCAATGACCGCGGCGTCGCATAACGTGTTAAGAGTGTGTTTAGAGGGGTGTTGGTATAAAATCACTATCTAGTAGTTAAGTTACTTCATGCTTTATAGATGTATAAGCATAGAAGAAAGCAGAATCCTTCCATTCCCTTAATGCCCCGAATTCTAAAAGGCTAAAAATATATTTGGTCTCAAAGAAAGGTACATTCATTCTTTATTTCTTGTTGTGAATTTATTTTTGAACCTATCATTCTCTTTGTCATTTTTTCATTATTCTATATCTTCAGACTGGTATACCGTACTTAAAGTTTTTTTTTTATTTTTCAAATTAAAGATAACAATGAGAATGTGTTTAAGCAGTTGCCTTACTAGAGAACTGAGACCGTTAACTTGTATTGGTGCACAAACTGGCTGCAGTTATAAACTGGTTCTAAGTCAAGACCTCTATCATGTATCTCTGTACTAATAACTTACGATTTGTTAATTATAAAACTGGTTTGCAGCCTGTTAGGAAATTGAACACATGGCGCCCAATAATCTAGCTTATTTATAAAACTTAACGTTGTTACTCTTTGTAATCTGAAAATTAAAAAATTCTGGATGATATTCTGGATGTCCTTATCACAGTAACGAGGATTATTCATTTCTAATATATTTTACAATTAAATAGATAGGCAACAGAAGGCAGATAAGACATTCAATTGTTAAATTTGTAGCCAGTTTTAGAACAGAAATAAACGTAGTGAATTGAGCCAAGAACAGAGTACGCTGACGTAAAAAACTGATTTCTGTAAACTATGCTAACTTTTTAACCAAGCAAAACTGAAACATTTGGACTCCTGGCCCCATTTACACTACAAAACTTTTTTTTAACAACAAACAGTGAAAAAAATAAACTCCTGACCTGACAATGATTAGTTAAATGGATATGAAGTCACTTCATTGAATACGCTTTAGTTTTGAATCTCAAAACTGGTCAATCACATCACAAAACCGAAACTTTTCATAAATTTTTTGGTAGATTTAAGATTTGTTTTTGACTCACCACTATTAAAATCATAAACATCATTGAGTATACTATTTGAAGGAAGGTTGGTTGTTTTTACCTGTGGATGATCCTTCATAAACTCGTCTAGACTGAGAACAGTTCCTAATAGTTGGTAGTGATCTTGTGTTGAAATATAGTGGTACTGCTCAAAAGATTGACTTTCTAAAGTTTGCAGTAGTTCAGAAGACAACTTATTTTGTCTACCAATATTACAGCAATGTTCTTTGCATTCCTTGCTGATTTCTGAAAAATAATATTTTTTTAAATTTATTTGCGTACTTATTAGATGTATAAGTTTTACCACATTAATTTTGTTTGTACCATTTTAACCACTTATAATACATATAATACATAATACAGATAAGTGGTTTGAAATAAGCCTGTTTCAAAGGTTGATAGCGAGGATAATCAATTCAACTGTTAGATTTCAAAACATAAAAAAGGTAACTTATTCAGACACTTACGCACCTTCCGGCACTTAACTCTTTCCGGTTGAAAAAAAAAACGATTTTAAGCTGTGTCTATGTTTCTTTCACATTACATGGTTCCTGACCGTACAGCAAAATGACTGTGTTTACAACACCACAATAAAAACATAAACAGTGTCCAATTAACAGTCAGATTATAAACAATTAACATTGCAACAGCTGATCTATTTGCACTGGCTGGTGGGCTCTCTTTCAGATAAAAAATTGTGCAGTATGAAAAAGCTTGCATTCAACTACACGTACTAGGTACCACTGACAGCCACGGTGTGACAAATGTCCGGTCTAGTAGCAGTAAACGGCTGCAAGATGGTACTGTTTTCTGCCATCGCCGTAACCATGTAGTATGAAAGCTCCCATGCTCTTCTTTACACTACTAAAAATTTACCCCTAGTGAAAACCATAAAGTGTGAAAGAAAGGTAAGTGCTGCCACCATATAAATCTATAGTAATGATTCTATAAGTCATTGAATTTGTAAACCAAAACAGCTGATCATGGCAATGAATTATCTGTTTGATAATTTATCACTATAAGTTGCTTTTAGCCTGCCACATGAAATGTATTTTTCAGCTAGCTTACTGACAACTTGGGTATAACCCATAAAGCCTCAACGTGTTAAGTGAGTCCGGGGCTCAGTCGGTATAGCTTACGGTCACGGACTTTGGGCCATTGGGCCCAAGGCAGCGATGTCGTGGGTTTGGATCCTGGTCACTGCCGAAAACATTTTATCAGTACAGATCACCTTTGTACTGTACCGGCTCACTCCTTGCTTTGCAGTATACGATCCACGCACAAGCGGTTAGTCTATGTGGACGGGCAAATACAAGGTTAAAAGAGGCCGCCAACCTCTTAAAAAAAAGGTCTTTAATATTTTCTATTACACTCCTCAACTATGGAGTGTGCAATTTGGAAGATATATGAAAGGTATACGAAATACATGATATGTACAAAGTCGGCTTAGGGTTAAATCTGCAGCTAAAGTTCTGCTGCAATTTTTATCTACAGTACCTGAGAGTCTGTTTGGTGAGAACCCAGCGTCTGTGTCTATATAGACTGCTTCGCCTCCCAGACCTCCAAGACTGCGATGTAGCTGGACACTGACACACAACTGTAGACTAAAAGAACACATGTCATCTATCTGAATGTGAAGAGTGTTTACAACTTACACTGTTTGGTTCTAAAACAGTTTTCAAACATCTGGATTAAATAAACAGTTTGGATTTCAGTTTTTAATTAGAGGGGTTGAGTAAAAATGATTGACCATCCAATCAATAATCCCTTTGAGTCCCAAGAACTATTTAATAATTTAAAGTTTCCTTGAATCAAGTATCTTATATTCGTTTCAATTAAATTCTTAAGACAATGACACACACTGTGGAGCATATTTTAAGCTGAATAAGAATGAAGGGTGAGTGTAGAATGGAGTTAAGAGGCGGTCGGATAGAGCCCCGTATCCCACATTTTGCAGGCGTCACGAGCAACAACACAGTCCTCCCAAAACAGACTTTTGTAATAGTACCACCCTTGGCCACCAGTTTCGTGGCTGTCGTATAACGGGATCTGAGATTGTTGACAACCCTGTGTTACCTAGAAACTTGAAAGCATCAACTCGACTACCCTCAGCCTGTGTCCTAGCCCTTGTCTATTGTCCCACCGCATGTTTCACTTTTACTGGTTTCCTACCTTCGCTCACCCACCCTTTGCGTCTCAGCAGGTCTCAGTTCATCACCGCACAATATGCTAATTTTCCACACAAAAAATATTTGGAGATACAAATAGCACTTTCAGTAAGACATTTTGATTTATACACTTAATTTTAATATAATTATACATGATAATGCATTCAATTATAAATAATATACTAGTCCTACTGGGCTCAATAATGTAACTACTTGGCCTATCCCATACATTTTAGCGAATTTCCCTATAATGAGGTAGCTATTACCGTAAGTGGCATGGTAAGACTAAGAAGTGGGACCGATTTACTTTTTCATTTTGATGTCCCCAGAGGCCAAAAACACCATTCGTTCAAATTTTTATATATATGTGTGTGTCCGTGAACACGATAACTTGAGTAATTTTTGTCCGATTTTGATGAAATTTGGTTTGAAGGTGTAAGGCGGGAGGCGGGATAAACTTGAATGAGTTTGCGAACCAGCATGATCGGACCATGGGAACGGGGTTTTATGGGGTAAAAATTGGTTTTTCTAATTTTTGACCCTCTAAACACAAAATTTCCCAATTTCTCTCCAGGCCTTTTTAAAGAGCTAAAAAAAAACAAATAATTCAGTATATCAAAGTGTTTTTGTACAATTATTGGTTACGGAGAAAATTCACAGTTTAGTAGACCGTAAAAATAAAAAGGTAGCTTATATGTACACAAACTACAAATATTAAATCACGCAAAAATAAATGTTAAACGTTAAAAAATATATAATACATTTAAAATAGCATAAATAAAACCTTTAAAGTATACTAGTTGAACCCGTGCGAATTCGCACGAATAATAAATTAGGATATTATAGCAACGTCTTTAGAAGTTGCGTCGTTGTATCGGCGTTGGTCTTGAGCTCGATCGTTGGCTGTATGCATTCTAAGTTCTTTTTGCTGTTCAGTAGGAGTATTTTGCAGGACAAAGCTCATCGTGCTGAAAACTTGCGCGTATGGATTAATATCAACCAAATGTTGAGTCAAAATGTCCATGAGTTCAGTGCTGCAAGAGACATTAGCTTTGTTTAGCATTCTTTCTTGAACAGCGGTTTCGACGACCGTAGATATAAATTTGGGCACATGTGGGATGCTCCCCTTCTGACGGTTGAAAGGTGCCAATTGAGTGATAAATTGTGTCGTGCACCTTATACATGAAAGGCCCTCCACCGTTATGTTCTTCAATTTTAGCTCGAGTGCTGACCATTGCGAGCGCAGAGTTGTACGATCTAATGTTCTCTTTGTAGTTTCTGCTCAATTGATTTGCTCTATTAAGTAGGCTCTGGATATAATAGATTTCTCGGTATGATGGTAGATTCACTTTTCTTTATGGCAGCAGGATGAAAATCCTTCGCCTCGTCCTCTTTGTGCTTCTTTAAAATGTAGCGCACCACATTTCTGACATTTTAATGCCATCTCGCGAAGTGAATACTGCTGAGAATTTTTCAAAACTAAACAAAACAGCTGGGATTTTTTTTTACTAATGTATTGCCATCTGTTTTAGAATACAATAACATTCAAATCAATCACAATGTTATCCTTATGGAAGGAACTTTGAGGGCAGCCCACGCCCTTAAAAAAGATATATTTTGAAAATCTAAAGCCAGTTTGCACATCTACACACCTAGACGAACATTTTGCTATACAATATGTGGGGTTAAATCTTAAAACAAAAAAGCCTTATTGTTCACAAAGTTTCATGTCGCGTATTAAATATATAGATGCTCAAACCTATATAAAAAAAACTACAATAATTATTGTCCCTAAAAAATCTTTCACTTGATGTGGTGTCTTGGTATCAGTATTGAAGTAAAATTAAAATTCATGATGTAGCCCCTGAACTGTTTAATTAGACTAATATGAGGTACGCACCTTTACGTCAACAGTTCAATTGTAGTAAGTTAAGTAGAACTCACAACATGTTTCGCCTATTCAAACCTATTCATACCGTATCAAAGTTATTAATCTCCCTTGGTTTTGGAGTTTTTTTCGAAAATCAAAGCTATTTCCCATTAATAGCATTATTTGTAAGCAGCCTTTAATATTAACTTATTAACACGTTGGGTGCTGATGACGGGAATTCCCGCAATTGCTTAACATTGAAATAAATGCAACTTTTATGTTCAAACATGTCGACAGCACAAATAGTGTTAATGACAGTTTGAAGAAAAAACCTTTATCCAAACAAAGGGTTCTTATTTGAAAGATTAGGATAAAGTGACACATTGGAAAAGCGAGTTTAGCTACATCTGTAAGTTCAACCTCTGTTACGATCACAGCGAAATCAGAAAGATCTTCCAAGATGGTAGCAACATCCACGATCACCCACTGCAGTTGTGATTTTTTTACTTTGCACTTTAACACAACTGTCCTTGAAGGGCAATGAGTGGAAACTTTTTTTATGTTATTGGTGGAGATGATTAAAACATGTAAGTTTCCCAGCACTGATCACTATACAACACTGATTCACGGTCTTTTTCCCCGGTTATCAAAACTCAAAAACAATCGTTGCACTTGCGATTAATTAAACCGGCTAAGTAAGGCACAACGTTTTTAATCCCACTTGGTTTGGATGTGCTTACAAAACTTGATCGGAAATGGTTGCGGTATTTGTAAACATTATTTATACAGCTAAGTCCGTAATTAACGTACTAAGTATGACCAAAAGAGACGTTTATTCTAACGGAACTTGTTTTATATTGATGAATAGTTTGTATCAAACCGGTTGTTGTAGAACTACTTTTATCTCTGATGACAGTAATATTTTAATACATACGGTAAATACACAGTCCAAAAAATATTAGATTCTTAGATTCCTGTGAATTAAATATCATCATTTCCTTGGCATTATAATACATCAGGGATGTAACGACATAACGTTATTTATTTATTTAAACAGATCTGTGGCCAGTTTAAATGAATTGTATTTGGCGCGGTTTGAAAACGTGTTCTGCAGTCCACAATCGATTGTGCTGCCATCGGCCGGGACATCGTCGAACTAGTACTCAGTCGGCAAGCAAGGCTTTTTTGCAAGCTTTTACAAAAAAATACAAAACTTAATGTTGACCATCGAAAAATAAATATCTGTCACACTCAATACACTAATGAATATATGCTCTTCAATATGGCGTTTGAACCAGAATTGCTTATAGTGCCAGTCATTTTATATTTTAGCAGAAAGTATTGCAATTCCTTATGGGAAATGTAAGAAATGATTTATTTTATATCCGGCTTATAAGTAAACATTATGATTTTTATATTGTACAGTCTTAATCCTACATGTATTTACAATGTTTTGAGTGTGGGAAATAATTTTTGGAACACGGATAGACCAGAAAACGAGGAATTATTAAATGCGCTCCATGTTAAAGTGACGGCCAGTGTCGGCGGCCGAGAATCTCTGTCCGACCGCCTCTTAAGCAACCTGAGTAGCTGTGATACTGCCTGAGTCTGACTATTTCTTAGCCAGGACCAAAGAAACACAAGAATCCAAACTTTATGTTACATGTTTTTGGTAGGCACAAGATCATTAAGGATGAGGAAAATTTAGCAAAATGCATGTTCTTTCTGGCACATTCCCAATTAAGTATAGACTAAAAACTAAACAGCAGCACACTTGGTGGCGCAGTTCAGTCCATATATTAAGTCCTCGCCAACATATTTATTAGTCAAGGTTCTTAAGAAAAATCTGTTCAGTATTCATAATAATCAAAGACTAAACAAACATAGCTATTTTCTTCTACTATTACTTGTTTTAACCATTAAAAAACTAGCAAAATCTGTCCCAATGATTATAATTTACTAATGGTGCTTCAATTATGAACAGAGATAAAGAAATGTATTTGTACCACAACTGAGTTTTCCCACTGCCGGGAGCACCACAGACTTCTAGTATAGAGCCAAGAGGGACTCCTCCTCCCAGAAGATTGTCCAGCCTCAAACTGAATGTCACGATCTTCTCACACTTCTCTTCTTCCTGAAATCGTAATGGGATTATAAATTTATTGGGCACCCAACTGACCCAACCAGCTCTCCCTGCCAAACCAACTAGCCTAGGTCCTACTGATACTGGACTTGGTGCATTGTATAACATGGTTAGACTTTGGGACTTGTGCCTATACAGCCCAAATTTGTGGTACTCCTATAAATAAAAAAAGTATTAAACAAAGAATGTTTTTTTTTTTTTTTTTGTACTCTAAAACTCCCTTCACCTATTATTACCGCGCTTTATATAACTGTACCGGTATATATTACTTTACAGAGTGAGTTGGTTACACGGTGGAAGGAATTGGCTAGGTATTACAGGTGTTTCAAAAATCACTTTTTTTATTCACTTATACTGTACAGTATTTGTTTCCATTCAATTCTTTCAGACAATGACATGCACAACTTAAATCCAGAATCACTCAACTTCTTAGCCAGGATCACTTAAATGAAACACAAGAATCCAAATTTACCCTAAAACTAGAACACAAACTTGATTTCTTACCTCTAAAAGAGTGAGTGCAGTAATCTTTTTTGGGCTTTTCATGCAACTTTTGAGATTATCTTGTATTTCTGGATGTGACTTGAACAGTTTCTCTACTTCTGGATCCAGATCTAAAGCAAAAACAGGTATAATATCATATACTCTTAAAGCATCACAGTTCATATAAAACATCGATGTTACCGGTACCTAAGGCGTTGAGAGTTTTTCAAATCAAATCAAATCAAATCAAATCAATTTCATGTTTAAAAAGAGAAAGTTTAGTTTTAATTTTTATATTTTGTTGGTCTACAACTTTATTTGGACAGTTTATTAAAACTTCATTCTAAGCAGTTGGTTAATACTATTTGATTGAATACCAAAATAAAAGGAATTTTTTTCAGGTTAGAAACTTCAAGAGTATTAGATAGGATCATAAAAATTGTATACTCATATAAATGAAATGAAATCCTTAATTTTTTATGCAAAGTTAGGGCCACATGGCCCTTTCTTACACTTAACCTGACATTCATAAATATATAGAAATAATAATACACAATAGGATTACTTAATGTAATTAAACATAAACATATTTAACACGTCTCAGAAAAAAAAGAAAATATTGTACATGCAAATCTAACAAAAAAAACACATTTACTCACTCTCGTATACACGCATCAGCAAATGCGCAAAGAAACAGTAGCCCTAGGACACGCCAGCCGAGACCATCTGCTCAAAGTAGAGCTTCTTCAGTGCCACCACAAACTGGCAAACTGGGAACTTTTTTCATATACATGTCTACTTAAAGATAACCGGTAGTAGATAAGTAATTTTTACATAGATAAGATTCTCCTATTGGCATTTGCAAATAACCAAGGGAGCACTATAATTACCTTCGCCATGCTGTAAGAGATCATCAGCATACACAAAGCCTGCATCTTGGAGTTTCTTGATGGCAAACCCAGGGAGTTCAAGGCAGCAGATTGGCAACATACTATACTGTCAGATTTATTGAAAACTAATGTAAAATGTCTTCTTTCAAGTTACCTAAAAACAAAAAAGAATTAACTGATTTGCGTCTAAAAGTGTCCAAGTTAAAATGTATGGAAAAAATTGAGGCGGATTGATATTTATTTTTCCTTAAATATGATTTTGCCACTGAGAGCTGTATAAAAAATATAGGTAGAAAGAAATACTGTATATTAAAACGCATTCATTATCTCAATCAACAATTAAATTATATCATTAAGACAGTAAAGATATAACAGAGAACTTAATGATTGGAAATAAAACTCAACATTGAACAATTTAAAAATTTAATCATGAGTTTTAGAGCTAAGAGTTTATATTGTTTAAGTTAAATTAATAACATTAAAATTTAAATTTGTGACAGAACTGATTTCAAAACAAATATTTTAGATCAAAACATAAACTATCAAACTTAAATGTGTCACCTAACAAATACTGTACTATTTTAAAGGCTCAGTTTAGTATATATTAGCTTTGGAATATGTCAGTATGATATTACATCTTTTTTTTTATTTAAAAGTTTGAATTTTATTTTTTTTTATCCCTAATATGCCTAGAATTTTCATAATTTAGCTTTTAACAGTTCTGTTACCTTAATTTTAGAAACAAACCAATAGCAATATTTATCAATAGGTAGCAATAAATGAAGTTAATTTAATAGGCCTATCAAGCCATTATAGTCTTAATTAATTTTATCCAAAAATGTTTTAAAGTAAATATTAGTCCACAGGTAAAAAATACATGTTAATCCAAGGTCTAAATTCAGTATGCAAATCACGATGCAAATCATTAGATACCGGTAATCTAGAATGAATAAATGTCAAAGTGGTGTTGCAATTATCTACATTTTTTTGCTTATGGTGCGGTAAGAATTTTTCGTTTTCAAAACCTAGGCAAGTTCAACTTATCCTACAACGTTTTCCTTTGGGTGAAAATGTTTAGGAGGAGTTGTTCAAAATTAATTTCACAAAAATTTAAAAATATGTTTCAAATAGCCATAAATGTACAATCACATTTGACTAATTAAATCGAATACAGAATGTCACAGATATGGTCAACTTATTACCATTTGCAGTAAGAAAAGCTGACATGTCGGAATGCCCTGATTGCATTCTTCTATGCGAACGAGAAACCCAATACCCAAAATATACAAAGTGTTTTGTTAGAAAAGGAACGCTGTATGAATGTGTATCAATGTTCTCGCGTGAGAAGGGCCATAAATCATCAAAGTGTCGGATTGTAGGGTGGTTTTAGGGGCGGAGGAGGTCAAACGTGAAGGTGACAGGTAAATGCTATAGGTCACACTTATCGAATGAAACTATAGATTCTTCGATAGTGAACATCGATACGAGATATTAAACATCGATACGAGATAGTAAACATCGATACGAGATAGTAAACATCGATACGATATATAGTCCAGGCGCTAAACGGGTTGAGTATGCACTGAAAGTCTGACAAAATTTGACTTTTGATTATTGTTGGGGACATCTAGTAGATGAAAAAAATCGATGATGTCGCATTTCTAGGGTGGTCACAACTCGGGGGGGAGGGGGGGAAGATGCGCGGGTCATCGGTTTACGTTTCCGCGTCTAACTCACAAACGGTTAATGATAGAAAGGTGAATTAAGCGTTTATCTACGCCTAAAGATATTGTCTTTTAAAAAGGTTATTGCAACTTTTCTTCTATATCTTATACTTTAGGCGCTAATCAACATTTATTGCAAAAAATAAAATTTAAAAATACTTTAAAATAAAATATCGGAAATATTGCGCTTGTTTAGGGCATGTTACAAACTATTTATGGTTAGAAAAACTAACAAGTAGTACAACAACACCAAGTTTAAAGAAATCCGTGCAATAACAACAGAGCTACGTTGATTTCAGTAAGAGTAAACGTGGGAAATTCGTAGTAGTATCGAGGCGCGCATGGATGGTACACGTAGCCCACAGTCAATATAGGTTTGATGTTGTAAGTAACTATGGGAAAGCTGAATTTTTCTATGCTGTTAGACCATGTTGAGATTATCATTTTCCCGAAAGTCAACACTCCTCCCCCCTTGTGCTTTCCTCTAACCCCCCTTTTTAGATAAATTTAAAGCCTCTCAGCAATTAAGCTATAACTTTAAAACGGGTAAGGATAATAATGCAATATTTTATTAATCATTTTGCGTTACGATTATCTACAAAAAGAACTATTAGATGAATAAATATTAAAAAAGAATTATTATAGATTTCTGAAGAAGAAGAAGAAGAAGAAAATGTGTTCATTGTAATAAAATATCAATACAGTGTTTTTTATTTAAATGCAAAGAACAATGGTCAAAGACCGTCTGTTTTGTGTTAGACACACTGATTTTAAAATATTTTAAAACAGTTTAAAAAAATTCCATGAATCACATACAATTATTCATAAAATAAACTGATTTTCACTACAGAACATACACAAATAGCACTACATACTAATAGATCAGATATCAATTGAATGAATAATAAAATTTAAATGTAGCCTACTGAGAATCTGAATTTTTCCTACAAACAGTTAATAATTCATAAAACAAACCTGTTACTTTTATAATTTACTTTGATAGATACTTAACTAACAATATGTTATAAACTTTTTAAATTACATAGATTTTTCCAATTTTTGTATTGATATCTCAATTCTTAAATTTAATAATTATACTCCATTATCAATTCCCACCCTTTACTCCATGCCTCTTTAAGATAATTTCCAAGTGCCCGCCAATCTTTGCCATTTAAAAATTCAAAAAAACTCATATTCATTTAAATATAACTTGTTAGACCAAAATTGACGTATCTTTTTTTAAATTGGACACTCTGCTATAAAAGGGTACACGTTTCATCCCGGCTGAGATTACATAGTGAACATACATAAATTTTATTTTCCATATAGAGTTAACTTTTTATTAGACGACCCCTTTTATTTGTAAAAAATGTTTTTAGGGATGGTTACGAATAAAAAATATATATCCACCATTTTCCAATATGGCCAACAACTTTGTTATTTCTTATGGAATACGCTGTATTTTAGTATTCTTTTAGAATTTAAAAGCTATTTTTTTATTTGTGACATTTTTTCTCTAAACCTACCCCATTTAGGAGTTACAGCGTGTTATATCTAAAAGAAAGGCTTGTGGTGTACATTCGGCATCCTGTAGCTCATAAACGAGTAAGTTGAGAGAGAAAGTGCAAAGAATAAATAAGTCACATATAAGTCCTCGTTTAAAAAAATATATAAAATACGTTAAAAAATACTGATTTTGTTGTTTTAAAAATGGCCACCATTTTCAAAAATGCTAGCTTACTTTGATATTGGAACAATTTATTTTATGGTTTTTGGTAATGTAGATGTGATTTGAAAACTTGTTTATTCTTTGTATTTCCGCTCTCAAACTTACTCGTTTATGAGCTACAGGATGCAGGATGTACTCACAAACCATTTCTTTTTCGATGTAACTCCTAAACAAGTAGCTTTAGAAAAAAATGTCAAGAATAAAAAGGTTTAAAAATTGTGCGTTTACATTCTAAAACAATCATAAAATACAGGGTATTCCATAGGACTAACAAAGTTGTCAGCCATATTGGAAAATGGCGAACATATTTTTAAAATTCGAAACCACTAAAAAAAACAACTTAAAATAAAGGGTAGTGTGCCATAAGAAGTTAACTCTATATCTCATAATAAAAAAAGTTATCTATTGGTTCACTTTAGGTGGGACACCCTGTATAATAAAATGAGGCTCTGGCGTACAGCAGCAAATGCACGATATTCATTCATATGTATCCACTACAGTCTGTATATGTACTGAATGAGCTACATAACGTTAATATAATCTATATAAAGCGGCAAATTCAAATACAAAAACCATAATATACGTAATTTTTTTCATTGTTGCGGTGCACAAAAAAGCCAGAGTCCTGTAAAATCAATATACTGTACCTACTGTACCCATCTATAACATCTATGTATACTGTATCTATAACCACTATATGCAAACAAACTGTTAATAACTATGTATCATTTTAAAATGTAAACTATGCACCCCAAATTTTGTATCAAACATTTTGTTGTGCGACCTCGTATAAAAAATCGACAAAGAAATGTTTCATAAATTAATCCGTAAAAAATATTTTTTTATGTTTATGATATTTTTTAACTATGAATATTTAGGATACCATGGTAAATACACTTTTTGTAGAATATCGTAACGCAAAATGATTAATAAAATATTGCGTTAGTATCCTTACCCGTTTTTAAGTTATAGCTTAATTTCTAAGAGACTGTAAATTTATCTAAAGGGGGGGGGGTAGAGGAAAGCACAAAGGGGTAGGAGTGGGGACTTTTGGGAAAATGCTCATCTCAACATGGTCTAACAGCATAGAAAAATTCAGCTTTCCCATAGTTACTTACAACATCAAACCTATATTGACTGTGGGCTACGTGTACCATCCATGCGCGCCTCGATACTACTACGAATTTACCACGTTTACTCTTACTGAAATCAACGTAGCTCTGTTGTTTTTGCACGGATTTCTTTAAACTTGGTGTTGTTGTACTACTTGTTAGTTTTTCTAACCATAAATAGTTTGTAACATGCCCTAAACAAGCGCAATATTTCCGATATTTCATTTTAAAGTATTTTTATATTTTATTTTTTGCAATAAATGTTGATTAGCGCCTAAAGTATAAGAGATAGAAGAAAGGTTGTACTTACTTTTTAAAAGACAATATCTTTAGGCGTAGATAGACGCTTAATTCACCTTTCTATCATTAACCGTTTGTGAGTTAGACGCGGAAACGTAAACCGATGACCCGCGCATCTTCCCCCCCTCCCCCCCGAGTTGTGACCACCCTAGAAATGCGACATCATCGATTTTTTTCATCTACTAGATGTCCCCAACAATAATCAAAAGTCAAATTTTGTCAGACTTTCAGTGCATACTCAACCCGTTTAGCGCCTGGACTAATAGGCAAGCTACTAACAAGGTGGTAAGTAAGTGAATAGCAGACGACGAGATCGGGACATTCCTTTGGAATAGGGACTTTTACTTGATGAGTGGTTAACTCTAGAAGATATTGGACTTAAACTTATCCAAAATGTGGGAATTATTACAAACCAAAAATGTATCCACTAGGCCGATAGAAATTTCCAAATAAATAGGACGGTTTTAAAAATGTAAGCTAGGCCTATACATAGTTTGACATCTGTTTTACTAATTCGTTTCCCGAAGTGTAATTGCCACTTTACATCAATTATTCTTGCGAATTTATTTATGAAAGTAATGCAAACGTCAGTGACGAAACTTGTTCCATTCACCATTCAAATTACATTAGAAACAGTATTCCTGGATGTGCTTCTACGATCACTTATTGCAGATTCGGGGTATTCAGACGACGGCCGTGTCAATCTCGACGAAACTTTTATTCGTAGAGATCTGGGCTTCATAGTGGTACATGTTAGACGCATTTATAGTTATGGTTAATAAAAAACAAGTCCCCCCTACAATTATATCGCTTAAACGCGACCTCTAACTAGCCTATATCCCACAATTTGTAGTATTGACCCAATTTGATTTATAGCACGTTCAAAATTGGGTTATGATAGTGTCTGAGAACATAAAGTAATATCGGATTTCTTATTGCGCCTACGCCGGCGCCGAATCGTGAGCCGTTCTAGGGTTTGGACAGTTTCCTTTGCAACGGCACAAAATGAAATAGGTAAACCAAACATAACGTCCCATCGAAGTTGACTTTGACCTATCGATTGTGTATCTATTACCTATCGATTAGTTACTATTAATTAACTCTACTTGAGCATAACGTCGACGGCATCGAAGTTGACTCAACCTATCGATTACCTCAGACTAGCTTAATTGGTATTCTGCTTCCCATTCGTCTCTTAAACTCTTTAAGAACAAATTATCGATGGTATCGAAGTCGAGTTGACCTATCGATTGCTACTACGCCACTGTAACGTAACTGTAAAGTAGTAGCACTGTAGCAGTAGTGGCAGCGGCGGTAGCGGAGGTGGCGTTCCACCAGTGTCAGTGACAGTGGCACTAGTGCAGTCATGTCTCGGCTCAGTGGCGCACCACTCTGTACCCTCCTCGTCCTGCTGCTCGTCTCCAGTAACGTCTCCGGGTCTACCATCCCTTGGTGGAACATCAAACTTGCCCAGGAGCAAGGGTAATTCTTTTCACTTTTAGTAGAGCAGTAGAAAATTTAAGTAATTAGCGTTTCTAGTGAGTTTGCATTACGTTGGTTATGAAAAAAAAAAAACACTGTTCAATAATTAAATAAAAAAAAAATTAATAACCAATTGTTTTTGGTGTTTCTTAAGGCTGTTTTAGTGGCTTGGTGTATTTTATGCATTTAAAAAATGTTGTATTACCCAGTAGCACGTCGATGTTATGGGCTGTAATGCAAAATTAAAAGAGGCAGGGCTTATTTAATTTTAATGGATTTGTTAATTTGTATTATACTGAACAAATATGTTTCACAAGCTTAAACTAATGACGAAATGGCTAAAATATTTTCAACATTATAGTTTTCCAGTACTATGCGACTGGATTCAGCTTTAGTAAGTAGTCCACTACAATAAAACATTCAAATTAGTTATAAATGCCATTTTCTAAGCTTAAATAACAATAAGCTACCACACAAATAATACCGGTACCAGAGATTTTCTTTTTGGAAAGTCCCTAACGCTTACGAATGTCTCTGCCATTAAAACACGCCAAAAGCTTTGATTAACTATAAGTGGTTTTATTCTTTTAATTTAACATCAATAACTATATATTATATTACTGCTCGGATACTGCTTGGTATGTTTAGCTGAGAGGTTAAAATGCCTGCATACTAGATTTTTTTAATTTTTTAGTAGTAGGCCTACTCAGAAGGATTAGAGGAGGATATTCAGATACAGTATATTGAAATCGGACGTGCTATCCTCAATCTTTGGGCTATGAAATAATTACATTGAATTAGCTATAGAAACCCGTGCCTAACTCATAATTCCTTTTTATTTGGGAAATGCATCCAACTGTGTTCCCTGTTTGGTGGCATCACAAAATGACACATGTAGCTATATATCTTTATTCTCATGATATGTACTACACTACTACAGACAAGAAAGATGCCTCTCTCTCTCTCTCTTTAATCTGTGGTGATATGTTGGGACGACGTTGACACACGGTGTGAGAGAAAAACGAAAGTAGAATAATTGAAAACTTCGATACTTGCGAAGACCTGCTGATGCATTGATCATAATAATCTAAAAGCCCAATTAAATTGATTTGGCTACACAGCTTGAAGGCCAAAGGCATGGAACTTTAATAAGTAGGTACTTCAAACATTTTTTGAGATCGAACCGGCTAGGTTTATTATTATTATTTTATCATACTAACTTAACAACCTAGAATTTTACACATTACATCAGGCGAGACCCAGAAGATCGTGGCACTATTGCATGGACTACACTCATCTCCAGGCTTAAAAACCCTACTTTGTATGGTCGCCATTTCAATGTAGGTAAAGTATTAAAGGTATTATAGCGAAGACCTGGTAATTGGCATGATTTTAACCTGAAAACAGCTCGATTTTTTAACTGAATACGTTAAGACTAAAAACACTCTAACCACTCGGGTATCCAACTACAGTAATGCAATTCGTTTGACATTGTACACTAATTAATGTAGCGACAAACATATACGAGGAGCACTTCCTGGCCGTAAGCCTACAACACAGAGCAATAAACAATAGGCGAGCGACACGAGGCGAGGCGCCGGCGCTTTGTTTAATTGTTGGTCAATTGAAGGGTCAACTAGTATGATGTACCATGACATTCATCATATTGTGTCCTTCCTTGGGCTTATACTACCAAAACAGACCTTGCCATATCTACGGGCCTTGACAGAAGTTTGGGTCGATTATGAGAAGAGAGATTGGCTGGGTAGCTGAGTGGTTATAGTAGTGATCCCGGCTAATTAAACAGCTGATCTTAGCCAGTAACAAAGCTACACAGATCACCACACGCATACTTCTCCTTCACACAAATTTGGATTGAAATACGCACCTAGATGGCGAGCCCATCTCAATTGGTAAGGTAATTGTATGTAAAAATTTGCTCAGAAATCGGGGTGGTAAAATTACGAAGTGGAAAAGAGTCATGTTCGTGGAGAGTTGCTAAGTTTGTTATCTATATAACCTGTTTTATCGTATCATTTTATGCCGATATCCTACTGCATCAACGAGACGCACACAATATCTACGATAGTGAAAGACAACCTAACCACTTACAATGATGGTTAAGTTCTATAATTTACTAGCCAGTTATTTAGGTTACTTCAATACAACGCTGAAAGTATTGGATTACAAATGTGTTGTGTGATCTGTATTAACACGCAACAGCAACCGTGCTAGGCAGCGAATGCAGTTGAGAATTTATCGTTCTTTGTGAAAAAGTCGCACTGCATTTGAAATGATTCAGCCAATATTGTGTCACGCAAACCCAAAGTCCATGTAGCTGCTCAGGTTGGTTTCAATGCTAACATTATATAGTAACAGTGTACTGTAACGGATAACTGAATAACTAATGTATCTCAATCAATATCGCAATTGCTTTTCTATAAAGGACACGGTTTGGAATCGAACCGTCAGTCGGTATGATGGAACCTGTCTCCAGACTATCCAGACCTGGGAACTGGCCCAGTGGCCCGTCCCTTGAACCACTTGCAAGCCCCCGGGTAGAACGGGTCAAGATAGGTACATGTTCCATCATACAGACTGTAGACATATATACAAATATAAATACCGATTAAATAGGTCCGCAGTTGCATATTATGGAAGAATGTACCTTTCATTCTGTAAATGTCTATATTCGTCAGAAGGTTTCATTACGTTCTTTATATATATAAACTTCGCAGGCACAATTACGCTGGCTATAACGACTGAAAGCAAATTAACTATCGATGGAAATCGACGTTCAGGAGGAGGGGCGAACGTAATGGCAAAAGTCGAACAGTCGAAGACGTTGGCATTTGGCCGAGCCGAGACGAAGATGGAGATAACACCTGTATGTCACGCGAGAGAGCGATTGCGAGCGATCACGCAGACCAACCTACAACATCAACATACCGACGTCGATACTGGAGACTGATCGATACCTGCTTCCCTGCCTGACACACTAGGTGCTCCTTCAATATCGGCGACAGTAGTACAAAACAAATATATAGCATATAGGTACTACTGTACAGCAACGCAGACCAACCTCCGACATCAACATACCGACGTCGATACAGTACCGGCGACTGATCGATACTTGCCTGACACACTCGGCGCTCCTTCAATATCGGCGACAGTAGTACAAAACAAATATATAGCATAGGTACTACTGTACAGCAACGCAGACCAACCTCCGACATCAATATACCGACGTCGATACAGTACCGACGTCGATACAGTATCGGCGACGGCGACCGATCGATACTTGCCTGACACACTGGGTGATTGCCTGACAAACTGGGTGCTCCTTCAATATCGACAACAGTATAATACACACGTGCACTAAAGCAATGGAAATAAAGGTCTCCGAGGGAATTGTGTAAGAGCGATCACGCATTAATATCAAACTATTATTTTATATTTACCCAACCTAAATGATATATTTTCCATTGAAACATTATTACATCCAACTGTTGACATAAATTAACAAATAGTGATGTAGTTATTGGTGTTTGACAACTCTTGACGTTAGCCTTAGTTATCCAAGATGTTTTTATGTTTGCAGACCAAACGCATGTGTGGTGGAGGAGATCCCAGAGACAAAACATCAGATCTGGACAGAGTGTAAATACTGGAACAGCCGAGATGTATGTGGATCAAAGCCGTGAGTAGCAATTGTACAAGTAAAATATTTGTTTCAGCCTATTAGTAAGTCGTTTTAACAAAGTGGAAAATCACTTAGGGGTTATACAAAATTATTTTTGCTATTACGTTATGTTTTAAAATAAATAAACATTTAAACTTTTTGTTGTTTTAGAAGAAAGTTAGATTTTGTGATATTAGTTTTAAAATTCTGTTTATGCTGATGTTAATGTACAATATTAGCAAGTATTGTTATGGTTAGTTTTAAACTCTATCAAAATCATGGTAGTCAAGGGGATTGTGGTTGGGAATTGCATGATGGCCAGAATTTTGCTACGGTCGCGGAAAATGACCATGAAGTCTCCGTGATCAGATCACGGATGATGATGTTCGTTCACAACGTCTTCATAACATTACAAGATGTGTGTGACGTATCCGTAGTCGGGGAATCTGTTCAGAATTGCGCCGTAATCGCGGAAGATACTCAGGAATTCACCGGAATCGCGGACGACGTTCACAATGTCTCCGTGATCGCCGAAAAAGTGTATAATGCTTCCATGATTGTGGGATATAGCTGTGTAATCGCGGAAGAACTTCACGATTTTGACGTGACCGCTGGAGATAATAACAATTAGTATGTTTGAATTGTTTTTTTATTGAGGCTGTCACTTAAAATATGTACGTCTGCATGTTAGGTAGAAATAATGCCCTTCAGCCATGTTAAGAGGTGTGACTTTGCAGCACAATTATTGTGTTACGATTTTTGTCAACACCTAGGAGTTTGTACCTGGACATAAGTTTACTAGGACTTGACTTGGACCTGCCCCTTGAAATGGAGCCTTGGTTTCAATTAAAGCTTAAACAGTATCAACTTACTTCTTTCAAGAAACTTGTTAAGATTGCATTGCAGTAAAGTATATATGCACTATTCACAACCCAAATTCTAACAAAACAACCCTTTAGTTACAAATAAAATCTGAAACATTCAATATAAATCATCTATATTTTTTAGATTGCTGAGATATGAATGTTGTGAGGGCTTCAGACAAATACCAGGAATTCACGGATGTACAGGAGGTAATGCAACTACAAAGATGTACCATTCCAAAACATTTTTTTAAGGTTAAAATTACTTATTAATAAGCAAATAGTAAGAAAATCTTGATAGGCTAGTCAAATTAAGGAAAAACATCAAACTAATTGTAAAAGAAACAAAGTAAGGTTTTTTAGATGCGGAATGGTGTCTTGAACAACATATCAAAAGTCTACCAAAATCCACGCAGGGGAAGTCCACCATATTGGCCGCCATCTTTGATTTTTCAAAAAATCTGAGACTTATGAGTATTATGGCTCTTGAACGACCAAATATCAACCGAATAAGGCAAGCAAAGTGTCTATGTGATATAGAATTAAACCAGCGTTTTGATTTGTTATAACATGTAGACATTTGACAAGCCAAAATTTAGCAAATCCTAAATAAACCTTCAAAATAAACGGATTTTTAAATATTTTTTCTCTTTAGTACCTTGAAACTAAATAATTACTCAATTTAACAATTGATCAAATCAATAATATTTTATCAATAATATTTTTAATACTTTTTATATAAATTATATTTTAAAACATTCTAAGAGGTTTATAATAATATATATATACAAATAAATCAACAAAATTGTTTTAGCCAAACTTCAGTGAACCGGCTTTCTCATACTATGAACACTCAGCTCTTTTGCTGTTTATAGGTAGTCATGAATTGTTGTTGGAACTAAAGAGCTAATATTTAAGTTTACTAAAACACATAATATAGTTTAACAATTGACATAAATAAATATTAACACGGGTTTTTAAGTCTAAGTTGTTTATATCGTAAATAAAAAAATACCGGCACTTACACCCCGGAAACCTTGTTATAAAAAGCAAGGTCTACCTTGCATGAAATGGGGTAGTAGGTTTCTTTTTTTTATATTGTTTGTAATAGTACCGAGATGCTAAATCCAAATTTTCGACCTCGGTGTTATAATGTTCTTAAGCAGTGGAATTGTTGGAGGGGAAATTTCAATGGCTAGAGATATTGACAAGGAAGCGATGATAAGAGTTTTATGTGAAAAATATGAATAAGTCAGATACAAAAGGAAGAATATGTAGTATATCTTTATCCTTAAGTTAATACTGTGACTGATGGCAATATAAAGGTGACTATTGGCTCCCTCACATTGTTTCACAGGTTATGTGTCCTGAAGCAGTCGGATGAAGATTTAAGCACTTCTTCACACATAGATTTTCACCATTACCCTTGTCTCAATCGATTGAAAAACTAAATTATAGTGCACACATCCAAAAGTCTCAAGTTAGTCATACAAGTCAATCTTCAACTGATACCCCCACAAGACGAGTTCATGTCCAAAGGTACAAGTATCACCTAATCACAGACGCCATCGCCCTCAGTGTTCTCCAACCGGCTCACGCGACAATACAAATACAATAAATACCGTTCTACCCAGGCCTGTGTTCTATCCACGAGAACCATTTATAGTAACAATGTGCGTGTGTGTTTATGTAGATAGATACGATGGATTTGTTTCCATTTTACAGTAAAAGTTTTTTTATAAAACAATCTAATGTTGAAATGAAATAAATTTGTTTATTTCTTATTATGGTTCTTTTACAAAATTTGACCAAATTGAGTAGTTTGAAACTTAAAATACAATCATTTATGGCAGATTTTAGGAAACTTGAAGAGGCATATCTCTCAATGTGTTAGGCCTATAATCACCATTTTAATCTTAAATTGTGAGTAATTTAATGTAGTTGTAATGTAATTATGGTTGTTTTAATGAAAAATATTAAATAATTATGCTTTGGGGTTAACGTAGCCAAACATTAAACAAGTTCAAAATTTGATAATTTTAGCCGTTGTTTGCTGGGTCATATCTTGAGAACTATTAGGCCTGTATTAACCATTTTGGTCTTAAACGATAGGTAATGTAATGTACTTTAAAAATGATTATTGTTGTTCTACATGAAAAAGTGATGCTTCAGAGTCAAAATCGCACAAACGTAAAAATAGTGTGAAATTCCGCCGATTTTTCAGCATTTTCGTGGTGATCCGGAAGGTCGCCGAGGTCGAAAATTTGGATTTAGCATCTCGGTACTATTACAAACAACATAAAAAAAAGAAACCTACTACCCCATTTCATGCAAGGTAGACCTTGCTTTTTATAACAAGGTTACTGGGTTATAAGTGCTGGTATTTTTTTTTTTATTTACTGATATAAACCACTTCGACTTAAAAAAACCCGTGTTAATATTTATTTTTGTCAATTGTTAAACTATATTATGTGTTTTAGTAAACTTACATATTAGCTCTTTAGTTCTAACAACCATTATTCATGACTACCTATAAACAGCAGAAGAGCTGAGTGTTCATAGTATGAGAAAGCAGGTTCACTGAAGTTTGGCTTAAACAATTTTGATGATATATTGGTATATATATATTATTATAAACCTCTTAGAATGTAAAAAAAATATTATTGACTTGATCAATTTTTAAATTGAGTAATAATTTAGTTTCAGGGGACTAAAGAGAAAAAATATTTAAAAATCCCTTTATTTCGAGGTTTTTTTAGGATTTGCTAAATTTTGCCTTGTCAAATGTCTACATGTTACGCATAATCAAAAAGCTGGTTTAATTCTATATTAAATAGACACTTTGTTTGCCTTATTCGGTTGATATTTGGTCGTTCAAGAGCCATAATACTCATAAGTCTCAGATTTTTTGAAAAATCAAAGATGGCGGCCAATATGGTGGACTTCCCCTGCGTGGATTTTGGTAGACTTTTGATATGTTGTTCAAGACACCATTCCGCATCTAAAAAACCTTACTTTGTTTCTTTTACAATTAGTTTGATGTTAAACCTTTTTTACCCTTAATTTGACTAGCCTATGAAGAGTTTTAATATTACTCTTAATTCATTACTGTGGAACTGCCATCATTCCACGACTTACTTGTGTTCAATGTACCTACTAGGAAAGTGCTATATTTTAAAATAAAATAGAAACCATTAAAGATTGGTATCCTGATTGGATTTATTTTTACCAATCAAAGCCTATCCACGATAAATAACAAAGAAACTATTTTGTTAATTTTTTTATTTGATATTATTCTTGATAAGTACTTTTATATTTTTTTAGAATTTATGAAGTATTATGAATATTTTAGAAGTAAAAGAATGGCTGCCAATTTTGGCACTTCCAAAATTTATACCTCCTCTTGAAATATTTTTAGAACCTCTACCACACCCTTTCTTCTCCTGTGAAACTTCTATCTTCAATTACTTATAACTCAATCATTGAATCATTCTTCCCTTTTAGAACTACCACCATCCATCTACTTTAATATTCTCCAAGAACCTTCGAAATCCTCCTTCATCTAGAATCTAGAGTTTTTATTTAAAAGAACTTCCACCTGTCTCCATCATCGACTGAGTTATTCTCCTTGATAACCTCAACCATCATCCATCAGCTAATCTCTCCTGCAAAACCACCATCATCAAATTCTTCTGTATTTCACTTCTGAATTTCTGCCTCAAACTTTTCTAAAACTTGATCCTTTAGTAGAAAACTCTTTCTACCACTCTTCCTTTTCCATTTTTCTCTGTCTTTTTACGTCCAAAACACCTGCTATCAAACAGAAAAACAACCAAAACTTCATGATTCTATGTAATACATAGACAAAACATTTTTATATAAATCGAGTGACAGTTTTGCATTATGGGACAATCTATGTTGACATTTCTATTCAAAGTTGAATTGCACATTCATTTTATTTGGTTCCAGTAACACCTCTACAGAATGTGCTGGAGACAGCCAAGAAGCTTGGTGCAAGTCAGTTTGTCAAATATATAGAAAAGGCTGGCCTAACAAGGGAACTGAGTAACGATGGTCCATTCACTCTTTTTGTACCATCAGATGAAGTATTTAAAGTAAGTCTGACTAAATTAATATTTTGATTTTAAATTTGTTACAGGTACTGTACTGTATATCAAATACTTGCAAAAATATTCCTGGTTTGTTTAAACAATAGGTACAGTTTGAGTTAAATTGAATCCAGGTTATATAGTAAAATATCATCAAATTGTCCTCAAGGTAGTGTGAACACTGCGATGACTCTTAACGGTGAGGGATGTATTTTATTTTATAAACTTTTACATCATTAGCATTTTATGACGATTTTGGTGAGGGATGGCCCAAATCATTGTCTTGTTACTACCAAAGCATTGGTGGGGATGGGAACACGTGGGATCAATGTTCCCACTCTGCTTTTTTTAAAGAAACTATATAGGCTATAGGTAAGCGACCTGTATTTTTCCGCGACCTTGGTAAGCTTTTCCGCATTGGAAAATTTACGACTGCAACACTGTAAGTTCAAAGACAAATGAGTACTATGTCTCCTTGTCTGTACTAACGAAAACCTTTTGTTACATAGCATCATTAACAGCCCAATGACTAATGGCATTTCAAGAACTATGTTCCTCCTAGGATCTGCCGAGGGACCGAAGGATCAGATTGGACACAGCCAGTCCAGACCAGCTCAGACCTATACTGGAGTATCATCTGGTGGAGGGCCGAGTTACTTCAGCTCAGTTCAAGGCTGATCTGCTGGTACCAACACGATACAGCGGACACAAACTGCGGATCAACAAGTACTCTAGTCGGGTCTGTATCATGTGACCTGCCAATATAGAAAATATGTGTATAGGACCAATTAACTGTAGTGAAATAGTGACAATTTAACATTAACGTTTTGGTAGCCAAATTGAGCAAGATATTAAATAGCAAACTGTTTGTAAATAAAACTGTGTAGAAAGAATTTCAAGGGGTTTATGGATTAAACTAGGATGAGATTGGTTAATGTTTTTTTCAAATTCTATTTATTTCTGGGAGGAGCACTACTTCTCATCTATTTAATTAACTTAAAATGTAATTTTTTCATCGTAGACTTCAAAGTACAGAAAACACTTCTCAATTTGACAATTGCTCTGCATGAAAAATGTTTGACTCGTCCAATACATCGTAAATTTCATTTGTGTATAGTCTCGAGTCACTTAACATATAAATAAGAGGTTAATTTACCTTAGTATCATCTTGTGACTCTTATACCTCCTCAGAGTCAGTGCATAAGGCCTACCTGTGGCCACAGTAGAAGTAAAATATTTAATGTTTTTATGTTTTGTATATTTGTTTGTGTAAGTGTGTTTAATGTTTCGACGACCTCATCAAAATTGAGGTTTGATGTTCTTGAATATGATCTGAAGAAGGCAAATCAATTTAAATAATGTCTTCAATAAATTTTAGGGTCAGTCGGTGGCTTATTTGGTAGCGTCACAGACTTCGGGCCGAAGGAAGCGATGTCGTGGGTTCGGATCCTGGGCACTGTTGTAAACATTTTATCACCTTTGTACTGTATCGGCTCACCCCTTGGTCACTCACTTTGCTGTATACGATCCTTGCACCAGTTAGTCAATGTGGACAGGGAAATACAAGGTTAAAAGAGGCCACCACTCTTTAAAAAAAATAACGATCGTCATCCGCCCTTTGAGGAGGTATAAGAGTCACAATACGATACTAAGGTAACTTAGCATCTTACTTACATTGCAAAAATGTCAACTGAAAATAAATATGTCTTATGTATCTTGTGTTCTGGGGTCTGGCCAAACATATATAAAATACTATTTAACTGTACAGGCGAAGATAGGGCCACATGGCGCTTTCTTGCACAACCTGTAGACAAGATCTGCCAATAACAAACCCATAACAAACTTACTCAAATCCAAGTTGATTTTTGGTGCCCCTACACTTTTTTAATCATCACAATGTCCTCTCTTCTTCTTTCATGACCAACCCTAGTGAAAAAAATTTTCTGGTCCAGGTTCTGGCCAGTACTGTCACAGAACTGACCAGTTCTGCCACAGTACTGACAAGTACTGGCCAGGTTCTGGGCGATACTGGCCAGGTTCTGGGCGATACTGGCCAGGTTCTGGGTGATACTGGCCAGGTTCTGGGCGATACTGGCCAGGTTCTGGAATGATACTGGACAGGTTCTGGAGGGTACTGGGCTGATACTGGCCAGGTTCTGGCTAGTACTGGGCTGATATTGAAGTTTGTATCTTTATTTTAATGGGTCTGGTTTTACTTGATAGTTTTAGTGACTTATGCCCAGTACATTTTTGTATTATTATGGCAATAAAACTATATTCTGATTCTGATACTGGCCAGGTTTTTGCTGGTACTGGATGATACTGGCAGTGTTCTTGGCTGATAATGGCCTCTGGTCCAGAATTCAGACACAATTATATGTGTTTGTTGTTTTTTTACAAGTTATTCACTTTGGTAAATTGGAGATTACTGATAACGATTAATTTATACATAATGACAGGGGCGGCTCCAGAGGGCAGGCCAGGTTGGCCCAGGCCTACCCAAAGTTTTGGTAGATTTAAAAAAAATTATAAATAAGTAAAGAAATTATTATATGAAAATAAAGGGAAATCATTCAAACTTATTATTTTGCATGTAAATTTTTAAATTCCTTCCTTTTTGCGGGGAAAGTCTTCAAACCTCTCGTCCCCCAATCAAACTCTATCATGATATATGTCAGGCCTACCCAAGATAATATTCCTGGAGCCGCCCCTGCATAATGAGCAAATCTGTACAGAGCTACAGACCACAAGTGTTGCCCGATTGTGATGAAATTCAGCAAGTAATAAGTACCAAACCATGGGTTTTCAAAGTTTTAACTTTTTTGAAATTTTGTTTTTTAATGGTGATTTTTCCATAAAAACCCATGAAATAATAGCAAAATCTTATTTTAAAAAATTGGCCAAAAATTTTTTATAAATAACAAGTATGTTAGAGCCCTTTAAATTCAGAAAAAAATTTTACAACGCCTATTACTGTAAAATTACAGTTTAAAAGCTACTGTAACTTATATGTTATTTTATATATAATAGAGGAAAACTGTGTTTTTTTAACCTATATTGATCAAAATTAGTATATTTTGGTCCTTATAATTTAAATTTAAATGGTGCAACCTCTCAGTGTTGTGAAAATTAGGGTTTATATTTTTTGCAACTTTTGTGATTTTTTCCTGTAAAATATTAAAGTTACTACAGTACTACCACATACCCATACATAGGACAAGTATGTGTCCTAATTATCTCTACAACCAAAATAAAAGATTGATTAAAATAACTACTGTATTGTTTTTAAAAATTGAGCAAGATTTAAATTTTAAAAGAATTTTCGCGCCAGACTGAGAGCTAATGACAGGGTCCAGTGCAGTCCGTGGCAGAGGAGGGGAGGGGACTGATTTTTCTGTTCCAACTCCAACTGTCAAAAGATCGGCGTCGCCATCTTTGCTTGGCTGTTGTGCCTAACCTCTTGACTTTGCAAAAGTATAACTTAGTCCTTTCAATTTAAAATTAAAATGTAATAGTGTATAATCGTATCCATATTATATTAGTAGCCTAAGATTTTTGTTGTTAGGTAGTTTACCTTCAGTTTTTTAGTTTTCTTTCACCAAAGAATATCGTTATTGAAGAGGCTGTCTCCCAAACCAAGGTAAGGAATTCAAAATAACATTAGGCCTACTTTAGAATAAGTTTCAATGTGAGTTACACATCAAAAATTAGGTTCGATAAAAATTCTGCAACATCTAGGCTAGTCTTTCTTTAAACTGATTAAAGTTAGGTTCAGTTATAAACCGGTAGGCCTAGTTAAGTTAAGTTACTTATAGAAAACGAACCTAAATGAGTTAGCCAGGCTTTGGCTTACAGTTATAAGTTTTTAGACTACCTAACAAATTTGCATTGGATTTAATCTTAGTACATATGTTAGTAGGCCTATAGCCTTGATGGGGCTTTCTTTGAAAGTTTGGTTTTTACTTGAACGGAGTCCTAACGTTTTACTGCATGTCCTAATGCGATGTCACTTTTTAACCTTACTTAGGTGAACCATTGGCCACAGTTTCAAATCTGCAACTTTTAATAACCTATATAGGAATATACCTAACTTAGCCTACTACAATCATTTTCTTAAACCTATGCAGTCAGCCTTAGTCAAAGCCTAGATTAAAAGTTAGGTTACAAGTTAAATATCTTAAATAGTCTACCGTAACTCAATTGTTAGGCCCTACACCTAAATAATTCTTACACCCTTAAAGGATAGTTGATTTCATAAAATAAATTCCTTAGGCATAAGTTAAAAATAGGCTACCGGTACTGCTAGGTAGGGTAGGATAAAAATAAAATCGAGCCAAGGGCAGTAAATTAAACTTAGGCTAGGGAGCATAAGCTAACCAAAAATAACTTCCAACAAACCGAAAATGTACTCCTATCTAACGTATTTGTTTGACCAATTCCTAGAATAACTTAATTTGTTATTTACTGTCACACTATGGATGAGGCCTTTTTTATGTTATAATTAAGTTATTGGTAACATTTCTCGACTGATAACTTACCAATAATTTATTCATACGGTATTGACAGTGACAGCCAGTTTGTTCTAATTTACCTGAACTTTGCGACATTTTACATATCCTAGGTTAAGTTAAGTATAAGTAAATATAAGGGTTCTAGCTAACCAATTTGCGTCAAAATCTGTTACGTTTCTTCAGCGGTATGGATTTTTCTAGGCCTGTTTACTTCTTAACTGAAAGTAAGTTAGGCTAGAACAAATTTTATGTTGTTAATAAATGTATGTAGCCTACATAGCTTGGTTATTGTATCCATACTTTTGAAATTTGTGATAATTGAATGAGAATCGGCTGCGGCACATTTTATGTGCGTGGGTTATGCTTGTCGAAGCACCTTATTGCACCATGCCGAGTTTTGTGAACTGTACCCTATTTAAGCATGAGTAGATCTGGGAAAACTTTATTATGGTTGATTTTTAGGCCCTTTTACAGCATTGAGAAATATATTAAGCTGATTTTGATTCAATCAAATTTATTTATTCTCAACGGCAAATCACCGTTACATGAGATTGCAAAAAAATAAAGTTAAAAAAGTGTGCATGAAGTTCTTGTCAAAGGTTTAACTTCTTTTTGTCTGTCTTCCCCATTTAAAGTTTTGAATCTAGAAACTCGCTGATGGAACCTTTTCAAGCTGAAACCTTTTTCAAAGTTTTGGTGGTTTTGAGATTAGATTTTGACACGTTACTAGTGCTACATAGCCTACTATTAATAATAGCAAACTTCTTGTTATTTCTTACAGAAGCTGTTTTTCAACCAGTTTCCAGAGGCCAAAGAAAAAGAAACATCGAGACGGTGACAAAAGATTGGCTAAGACCGTCATGAAATCGAATTGTAAGCAAGTAGGAAGGAAGGTAATTTGATACCTAATGATTGATTAATAGATGATGTTAGTCACCATCAAAGCAAAATGTAAAAACTTAGCCTAATGTTTCATTTGCCTTACAGAGTTGATGCTTGATTTATTTGCACATAGCCTATCTCTCTAAGATATCAAAACTAATAGGTAGGCCTATAGACAAACAAATTAAAACCAACACTTTTTTTTATTAGAAACTGCAACATTTTCTCAACCAAAGCAAAATGATATGTTTAAGGAGTTAATGGCAAAAAAGGGCTCAGTAAATTGAAAGAAGCCAGGTGTTCTGATTCTGCTTTAGAATAAGAAATCTGTTCATGAGTCATCTCTTAAAAATTTACATCCAACACCAGTTTCGAATATTCAATGTTAATAATATAATGTTACTTTTTTCAGGAAAGAAACGACTGAGGAGGACGAAGACTGCATCCCATAAATGGCTCATGGACTCAATCTTTAGATAATCTTTATGTCTTTAAAATTCATTATTATTTATAAGTGCAAAGATCTAATGTAATATTTTTAAATACATACATGTTGGAGTATAATGCTGAATATTGATTAAGGCCTACACATTTGCTAATGAGGTAATTTTTCAAATACCTATGGATAAACATTAACAAAATTAAATATTTTGTAATGGATGATCAATTTAACAGCAGTATTACCTTGCTGACTAAAATAGAAGAAAATTCACAAATAATAATTCTTTTACCAACAAAGGAGCTAGTAGACCTAATAATCCTGTGTTAAATTGTGCATTGTCTTTTGATTTTGTCACTAAGGTAGGCCTAAGATTTATAGGCCTACATAAAAAATCGATAAAATGCTGGCCTAAAGCCATCTTTACAAACAGTTTCAATAGAAATTAGTTAATTTAACAATCAATATTGTTAGGTATATTTTAAAAAGATAATTAACCTCAATTACAAATTGTGTATCAATCCGTAAAATTGTCTGATATTAGGTATGATTGAGATTCATGTTAATATTAGACATGGTTAATATAGACAGAGATACATTCATGGTAATATTAGATATGTATTTGGTTATTTTCATTTTGTTTCACGGTTTGAATAGCACGGAAATAACAAAAAAGGTTTTTTTTTATTAGGTATAACAGTGTCTATTGTAATTGAGTACCTAATCTTACATAAACTGCAGAATTATAGGGTCCTCAACCATTTCAGTAAGAAGTAATCATGCTCATCAATAACCATGGTTTAGGCCTATATAAAATTAATGAGTCTTGCCGTTGATTTCAGTAAGTAGAAAAGAGTGGAAATTGTGATAAGATAATGGCAGTATTTGTCTGATTGGAAAGTGTAAGTCAAGAGTGTGACCCTTTACAATCATTTTCTACAAAAGAGTTATATAAATGGAAATAACAAACAATCGTCATGTACCAATAATGTAAAAATATCAGCATACAAATTTAATTTTTTGGAAAACCCGTCGATAAATTCCTTTCCCTCATGTAAAAAGGTAAATATTTTTAACGAGTTATTCACGTAAAATACAAAAAACTATGGATACAAAAACGTTACTGTATTTTAATTTGAGAAAATGTGAAAGACGTGATAAAATACTAACACAATTATGTTTTTTCACATCATTCTCATGTAAAAGTGGGTCGTCTTCGCAAGCTCAAACAACCAATACATTCTGGAACAGTAGGCCTACTGGCCAGGTTCTGAACCAGTACTGGCCAGGTTCTGAACCAGTACTGGCCAGGTTCTGGAACAGTTACTGGCCAGGTTCTGGACCAGTACTGGCCAGGTTCTGGAACAGTACTGGTCAGGTTCTGGAACAGTTACTGGCCAGGTTCTGGGCCAGTACTGGCCAGGTTCTGGAACAGTACTGACCAGGTTCTGAACCAGTACTGGCCAGGTTCTGGAACAGTACTGACCAGGTTCTGGAACAGTACTGACCAGGTTCTGGAACAGTACTGGCCAGGTTCTGGAACAGTACTGGCCAGGTTCTGGAACAGTACTGGCCAGGTTCTGTAACAGTACTGGCCAGGTTCTGGAACAGTACTGGCCAGGTTCTGGTTCTGGCCCAGGTTCCTGCCAATTCTGGAACCTGGGCCAGAACCTGGCCAGTAACTGGATTTTTTTCACTAGGGAAGCTACCTAAAATTCTCCTTCATCTCAACATCTGGTCTTCTATGTGTATCTGTGTTTCAATATACTCTTCAAACTCTGCACATTGTCTTCAAATGTTCATTAACTTTTCCTCAATATTTCATTTTAACAAGATATTAAGTTGTTTTGGCCACTGTTTAAATGCTCATATACTCTAGCGTACACACTGGTTGAATTATGACTATAATTTTTAACTACTAATTCCCTCCTTTTTTATGTTTCTGACAGGTGTTTGGAACTCTTTTAATAGTTTTTATTCTTCCATGTAATACCTGCATGTCACCGCTTCTTTATTTCTTATTTCATTTTCAATTTTATTGGCTGTTTTTAGCAGGTCAGGAAAACAAAGTACCCTATTGTTCCCAAAGTTGGTCATTAAAAAAATTTTATGAAATAATTTTTTGTCCACCAGATAGAAACTGTGAACTGTGCACTACTGCAGCGCAAGGACCAAGAAGCAAACAACGGAGTGGTTCACATAATCAGCAGCCTGTTGGAACCTTCTTACTCTCTGGAGAGGGATTTGGCAGAACTTCTGGCTCAGGTAAATCAGATAAGTATCTATTTTAATAGCAACCAATAATTGTATAAGGTAAGACAGCTCAACTCAATAAGTCAACTTAAGTTTATTCATTTAGAAAAAAATTATACACAGAAGAAACAAGTATTTTTAAAGACCTTTGATAAGATTTATCCAACTAGCCTAATATATTTTTCACCTAATATTTTTCAGGACGGTAGATTCCAAGAACTATCACGAGCTATGGACAAGTCAGGACTTATGGTCAAACTGCGTGACCCAGAACAGGCTTTCACAATATTTGCTCCTTCAGATGAAGCTTTCACGAAGATTCAACCTTCACGACTTAGTAAAATACTGAACGACAGAAATGCTTTAAGAGGTAAAAACTAAAATTACCTTTATTAAAATTTAAACTAAATATAAAAATTAAAAATTTAATTAAAATTAAATTAATTAACCTGGATGAAGATATCTGCAGGGCTTGCCAACCAATCAAAAGATGTTTTCAAAATGAACTGAGCTTTTGCCAATCATTACATATTTAATGGACTGTTCTGGCGAGAGAATCGGCTGATATTCTGTAACAAAATTAATACCTCAGCAGCAAAAACCCTACAGGTGAGGTAAATTTCTAGTTGATTTATTAAGTTTGCTTTATAACCACTTACAACAATAACTAGGGAAATTTCACACCTTGCCCAGTATGACATTGGACATCTATTTTTCCTCTTGATAGCCACAATACACATATAGCTAAGGCATGAACAGCCAAATAGAAAAATTGCCTAAGAAACCTAAACTTTTGAAAGCATTTCAATGAAAAATGTATCCCTACCCCATAGCCATTTACACCCAAGAAAGTATTTGGCCATGCAAACTAACTTCTAACACTTTTTTATACATTTACATGTCTTTGGTTAATTCATCTTTCTACTTCTTCCAGCATCCCGGATATCTTATTCCATCCGACTTTTTCATCTATACTAATTTAACTTATCTCCACTCATGTTTTTGCTAGCTCATCTCCCCTTCTTATAACACGTCCAGTTCTTGATTCAGCAACATTGTCTGGTGCTTAAAACGGATCCATTTCTTTCCTATTACGCTTGGTTTTTCTTTCTCCATTTTCTTTTATCGGTTCCTAAAACTTTCCCTCATCGCCTGGTTAAGGGTTTATGCTTTTGATCCAAACGGAAGTATCATTCTTATTATTGTTTTGTAGATTTAAAGTTTCAACACAGAGAAACGCTTTGATGTTAAAATAAATTGTTCAACTTTTACATACATTATTTGACAACTAGCAGAGAACCCGTCCTTCGTACGGGGTGTGCATATAAGTATAAAATGCTTATTGCAGTTATGATCAAGCTTTAGTTTTCAATGGGGAGGACACAGTTTGATAAAATTTGCTTCTTTAAATTCACGGTACCCTATAGTATTACACATCTACCATAGTCATAAAATAATGTTCTACCACTTCACCGTAAACAATCCTACTTTGACAGTTATCATCGCAAATCACAGTTTTTTATTGCTGCTTAGTTCAAATTAGCTGTTTTCATAAATGCAAAAAAATATTGTGCTACACCCTGTTGGTAAATTTTATAACTTTTTAATGCTTTTACATATCATAGAACCAACTTTTTTTATTTGAAACAGCTGACTAAAAAAGTCTTTAATTCCCTTATAATATAATTACTCATAAGGTTAACATGGGGAACTACAGAGCCACTGGGGCGGTGCCCGAAAGGATTTTTGAGATAAGAATATGCCTTTATATTAATCGGGAATGTGAGCTATCATCATACCAAATTTCAGCCCAATCTGTCCAGTACCTAGTTAATGTGTGATTGAACTTCAAACAAACAAACAAATAAACACACAAAATTTCACATTTATAATATTAGAAAGAATCCAAATGTTATGTATCATAGTAGCAAATAATAATATACAACTGGTATGATTACAGAACTGCTAGACAACCACATAGTGCCTCATGCAATGTGTACTCCTGCTATTATTGACGAACACAAAGTGCGCACTCTGGGCTCTGGCAAGGTCACCATCAGTTGTGATAGGAAAGGTGTCAAAGTAGATGACAATCGGCTACGAGCGGACTTTACACTTGGACTCAATGGAGTAATTTACTTGGTAGACAACGTTCTGATGCCAGATAGAGGTGAGAATGAAGTTTTTAGTTAAAAACTTAACAAGCTTGTATCAAAAACAGTAGATCGAAGGTAGTGCTTTGAGCTGATAAGCCTGAAATTGTGACTGCTGCATGCATTATTCTATCATTGAAGTCAGCACTAGTTTGCCCAAGTGAGTTACACTGTCATAGTTATACTAGTTATTCACTGTATTTATATCACAAACAGCAGACTATGAACATCCATCCTAAATCCCAACGCTGTCTTTAAAACCTCTACTGATATATTAAAGAAGTTAAGATTTTAAAGAGCATTCTAGTGCATCCCAAATATACTTGGTGAAAACCTGATGTTGGCCTACCTGTAAAACCCTAATTTGTAAAACACATTGCTGGACAAATATTGGAGACAGCAGTTTACATTAGGCATACAAACAAACAAGACTTAAATCATTCTATGTTCAATTTGGATTGTTTTATGTTTTCCACCGTCCTTGTTAATAACTAATATTTATCTGAGTGATCTACTACTGTATTTACTCAAAAATGTTTCCAAAAACTGCAAATGTAATGTAAGAATCAAGAGCATGATTTTTAAGTTTAAGGAACATGTCAACCTTAGTCAGTACTATTATAGATAATAATCTACTTACGTATCACGTATGCCAGTAGGTGTCAATTATTAAAACTTAGTCAGTAACAAGACTACAAGATTACAAGGTGAAGTTGGTTTTAAAAAATTAAAGGTTGATTTATGTGTTACAACTGATAAAATATTAATCTTAAAATATTATTCTGTTTTTCACCAGCTAAAAGCATTATCCAAATATTGGAGGAGGAGAAACTGTCATCTTTCTTGCAGCTTGTTCGATTCTCTGGCTTGGAGGATGCTTTTGAAAACTTTGGAGAGTACACAATATTTGTGCCATCAGAAGCAGCTATGTTTTGTAAGTCAAAGTATGAACTAATCTCATTTAGATAGTTTTTTTTTTAAGTTAATTTGGTTTTAAAATAACTGATTTAAAAATGATATGCTGCTTTAAAGATATTACTTTATATATTTGTAAAATTAAGGGTGTTTTTTAAATCAACGATATTTTAATCACCTCAGCCATATCCTCTACTATGCTACAGTTAGGCATAAACAATAGTTTCATAGTGTCATAGCTGCCAAAACAATGAAAAGGAAAATCAATGTTCCCACCAAGTTTGAATGTTTTATGATTCGATTTCTGTGGACTAAGGTGTGGTGTTAACCACTATTGAAATCCATCGCCAGATGAATGAGATAAAGTGTTTAAACCTATGAATTGTATAAGGAATTACTATTATTATTATAAGGAATTATAATATTTGTAATTGAATAAGGAGTGCTGGATGGACTATAGAGGTGCTTTAAGCATTTTCACAATTTTTTACGGATATTTTCACGGTATAGGTTATGGTTGTTCATTTGTCTTCTTTAAGGTAGTGATTATAGTTAGGGGATTTTTGAGCTGGCCTACGATTTGAACTAGTACTTGGTTGTGAAAGGAGCTTATGGAGCTTACCTTTTTTTACCGACAGCCCTTGTGACATGGACATTTATCAATAATTTTAAGATTTCCTAAAGCATTCCTTTCATTTGCTTATTGAAAAATCTAGTTTAACTGGTTAAAATAATAAAAGTCCTAGGGTTTAGGGTGATCCATAACATAACATTTTAATCCATCCCAAAGGTGTAGATAGGCACATACAGGATAAGCAAATGCAGAAATGCCAACAAAAATTTTAATAATACATAGGCAACTTAAGTCTTTATTTTACAGCACTCCCGGCAGAAATCCTCAGCTCTCTAAAGAACAACAAGGAGAAGGCCCGTAAATTTGTTTTGTTCCACTCAACCCAGGGGCGAATAAAAACAGACAGAATGAACAACAATCAGGTAAGTAAAATCTGCTACCTTTATTAATAACTTATTTTTAATTGTTATTCATTCTTTTTATTAATACACAGATGTTACATGAAGGTCTTTGAGATACTGTGTTGATTTTGAAATTTCTTCCATGTTCTTTTTAAAAGGCTACCTCCTACAATAATAGGAGCTTCAAGGGATAAATCACTGGAATTCTTATAGAATTACTATTGGTTTTAATAATAAAATTGGATATGATCTTGAATATTTATGCTTTTGCAATTGATACCCCTTAGTTTATACATAACTAGCTGATGGCCCGTCCTACGTACGGGAATCAAGTAGTCGATTAAAACTGAATATAATTCAGAACAGCTAGTTTATACGCATTAAGAAAAATTCAGGCAGTTTTGCGAATAGGGACAATCGTTTTGTAAACAAATATCAAGTGATCACCTATTTCTTTCATCCGATTATAGGCCTATACGATCTAAAAAACTGAAACCCTTAACTAAAATAGCTTCGACATTCCCTAGCTCTAAAAATTATCTTTCTTTCAACACGTAGTGATATGAAAATCCATCAAGTGGTTGATTCAGAATCGTGAAATTAAAAAACCCTGACAAGTTTTAATATAAATGATTACTCATAAGGTTAACAAGGGAAACTCCAGAGCCACTGGGGCGGAGCCCGAAAGGACTTTTGAGATAAGAATGTGTCTATATGTTAATCGGGAATGTGAGCTATCATCACACCAAATTTCAGCCCAATCCGACCAGTTTTTTTGCGTTTACTTGTCACAAACATACTCCTCCGGAACGACTTCACCGATCGTTATGAAATTTGGTGTGTAAATTCTGTAGGTATGCGAATCGGACGTAAACTATTTCCCGTTTCGAAATTCTTAAAAGGGCTCCGCCCCAGTGGCTCTGGAGTTTCCCATGTTAACCTTATGAGAAATGGAATTAATGAATCTTAACAGCTGTTTCAATTAAACAAGTTGGTTCTGTTCTATGATGTTCAATAGCATTAAAGTTACAAGGATTACCAACAGGGTGCAGCACTATTATTTCTTTTACATTTATGACAACAGCTAATTTGCAACCAAAATGTGAGTGAGCGTAGCGAACGAACTTCAACCAGGACGTGATTGAGCGATGCGAACGAGAGAGGCGAGTGAGCGTAGCGAACGAGCTAACCTGAAGGCAAGTGAGCGCAGCGAACGAGCTCCAACCTAAAGGTGAGTGAGCGTAGCGAACGAGCTCTAACCCAAAGGTGAGTGAGCGTAGCGAACAAACTTCAACCAGGACGTAATTGAGCGATGCGAACGAGATCATCTTGAAAATTAAACGTAACGGTACTTTCTTTCCATCGGTCTGTCTTAGGGGAAACCTATAACTTAGGCGATACGAAGTTCGCCGGGTCAGCTAGTAGATGTATATTATTTTTTATTAGTGAATAGATGTACAAACTATTCACATTTTTTTCAAGTTACTCAACCTTAAGAATCTTTGTTTTTTTGTACATTTTCAAAGAAAAAAATATTTCTATACAAGTTTTGTGTTTTATTCCTGGACTACATCTCCTAAAGTGATTATGGATGATAATTGAAGCATCCACGTTATGGTTTACCTACGTTACATACAATTGCTCTTTATAATTAACGCCTGGGCTAGGTCTCCCAAAGTAACGGTGGGTGAACCTCAAAGCAGCCACGTTGTGGTTTGGCCACATAACAGTTGGTCATATAATTAACTTATAATTTACGATAAACACTCTATTCCAGGTACTAATGTCCCTGGACGAGCAAAACCCGTTGCGTATTCAGCTGTACCGCGCAGGTGTAACGACCAACGTAGGTCCTCGTGTGATGGCAGCAGTGGAAGGTGCCTCTGTACAGCGAGCTGACCGTCAGTGCATCAACGGAGTTATCCATGTCATCAACAAGGCACTGTCCCCAGTCAACCAGACAGCTGGGGAGTACCTCCATCAGAATGGAACTTACAAGTAATCAGCATGTGACTCTTCATAACATTATTTATAAGAACATTGGAATTGTTTATGTTTTAGCGAATTTTCCTATATGGAAGTAGCTATTAGGTGGCATGGTAAGACCTAGGCCCGGGACCGATTTCCTTTTTTCTCCAAAGGCCAAAAACACTATTTGTTTAAATTGTTATAAATGTGTATATATATGTGTCCGTAAATACACGATAACTCGAGTAATTTTTATTCGATTTTGATGAAATTTGCTTTAACGGTGTAGGGAGGCATAAACTTAAATGAGTTCGTGAACCAGCATGATTGGACCATGGGAACAGGGTTTAACGGGAGTTTTATGGGGGAAAATAGGGTTTTCTAAATTTTACCATCAAAACACAAAATTTCCGAATTTCTCTCCAGACCTTTTTAAAGAGCTTAAAAAACAAATACTTTAGTATATCAAAATGTTTTGTACGGTTATTGGTTACGGAGAAAATTCAAAAAACTTTTTAGTTTATATATTAAAATTTCCATGTTGGTCTTATAGAGAATATTGTAAAATGTTGTAGGTAGTTTTCTTTTTGCTTGTTTATGGTATATTATGATCAAACTTTACAAACTTTTTTATCTGTTTTACTAAAAAAAAAACTTTATTAGTTTCCCTGTAGCAATAAACATAGGTACTTGTTAAACCTAAGTATTAATTTTATAGATATAATTCAAAATCAATTCAGGAAATTGAAAATTCGCCCAGGTTTGCTGCGCCAGGGGTATTTTGTAAAGTGAACAGTGCAAACTCTGGTCTTGATACCATTGACCTTTTCTTAGATAGCATAATTAATTGACAGCTTAAAGACAAATTCCATCTGAGCCCAAACTAATGTTCGGGACCAAACCAGACACTTATATTTTAAGGTATTAATTCTTATTTACAGCCATTAATGTATGTGTAACAATATTTAAAGGGTAATTCTGAGCAATTACTTGGTCAACCCCAATTTTTTCCATACTTTACTACGGTCATCCGGATGTTCTTAGAAAACAAGAAACATATAATTTAAGCCCCGCAAGGTTAAGTTAGGTTAGGTTAGGATAAGTTAGGTTATGAATTAACCTAACCTAACCTAACCAAACATAACGGTACTGTCGCAACTGGCCTTAGAGATATCTATGTGAAACTAAAAAAAACATAATTCAGCCCCGAAAAGTTAATATATGTTATATACAAATAGAAATTACCTCAGTAATCGCTGGGTTAAACGTCCTCATCCGAGTCAGCGGCAACTGGATCAGTGTTCTGTTGCGATGGTTTTCCGTTGTAAACTTCACCGATACAAATGGTGTAGACTCGATTCTATTCCAACAGTTAAACATGTCGTATTTTTCTTCATTTAACGTCATTAACCTGCCACATTGTGGACACACTTTGGTACGTTGCAAAACGCTGTGTTCGTACAAAAAAAGTGTTAACTTTTCCTGATCTTCACTTAAAACTAAGTAACGTGTTCTCACACCCGTCACATAAAAAACGATTATTGGAGGAACCACTAGCCATAGCCATAACGGTACTGTCACAACTGGCCTTCCGCACATCTCCCGCAACCTATATACTAACCTTGGCAAGCCACTGTTATCGCTTGGAATTTGAAAGTTCTTATCGCTCTGCAACCTGCACGATGGCCTTGCGGGGCTTAAATTATATGTTTCTTGTTTTCTAAGAGCATCGAGATGACCGTAGTGAAGTATGAAAAAAATTGGGGTTAACCAAATAATTGCTCAGAATTAACATTTAAAGTAATCAATGATTGTTTTAAGGGATGGTAAGTACTTAAACTGTTTATAAAATCATTTCGGTCAGTAATAGGGCTATTTACAGGGAAATGTTGTATAATCCATATGAAATTAATCAAACTAATATTTTGGTATATTGCCATGTACACAAAACATTATTTGAATCACGTTCCTTTTAAAGCATTTGTGTTTTAAAGCATTTTTAGGCCTAAATCTAAATTCCACGGGCTGAATCAAAACTCTACAAATTTAAACGGATTTGAGCAAAAGAGTATTGTACAATTATTATCTAACAACATTATCCTTGCAAAATGGCTCTCAGAAAAATCATGTGATTACTGGTTTTGCGATATCTTCTATGATTCAAATACTATGGTTCAAATACGTTCCGTTTATTGTAAAACTTCTGATTATCATGCGAATGAAGATCAGTGGTAAAGTTGACGCTGGCAATACTGTTGTGTGTAGATTTATTCTTCAACAAATATATATACTATACTCATGCTAAATAATGTTATTGTTATTGCAGAATTTTCCTGAAGGCTATGGAACAAGTGTCATCTGACAATTCTGACTTGGATTTCACCAAACCTAAAACATTTTTTGTACCAAGTGATGAAGCTTTCCAAAAGATCGGCAAACTTCATCTGCAGCAAATGCTGTCTGATTCTTTATATATGACTAAGGTAAACCTAACTACTAGATTTACACATTCAGTAAATCACAAAATAAGTCAATGTTTAAAAATTTATTTCTATAAATTTGAATGGTATTTTAGTTTTTTTTTCTTATATTAGGGTCTATAGGAAAAGTTAGAAGTAAACTTTTTGACAGACAGTTAAATTAGTAAATCTATATAAATAAAATTAGAGTTTTGTCTGTACTTTGCTCAGAATTATATACTTTTAGGTTATTTTTACGTTTTATTCATTAAAGAAGCAGAAACGAGTCTTATCTCTATTTCTGTCTGTCTGTCTGTCTGTCTGTCTGTCTTTCCCTTTGTCTGTAACACTCAAGATGGCATTTTACGCAATCTTCTCCGTGAAAACCAGAGTACCTATCAAGATCCAAGTCATTTGAATGTATTCACTGGATTGGCGAGAGTGTCTTTAGTGATTTAAATATAGCCTCACTACTTTGTAAATAAAATTACGAACGTTCAAAAATGCAGTTTTGTGCGATTTTTGTCAAATTTTCGTTCAATTTTTATCACATAATCGTCTATGAAATAACGAACAGCTGTTCGGATCAAGATTATTTTTTTCTAGCTGTCAATGATATGTTTACAAATGTTGTTTACAAATACCGCAATCATTTCGAATCACGTTTTGAAAGCAAATCCCAACCAAGTGAGATTAAAAACGTTTTTCTTACATAACGGATTTAATTAATCGCAAGTGCAATAATATAGTCTAATAGTGTAACCGTAAATGAAATTAAATAACTAGACATCGTCCAAATCGGAACCAGAAATTCTTTGAGTATAAAATGTTTCTTGAGTTTTGACAACCAGAAAGAAGACCTTGAATCAGTGTTGTATAGGGCTGGGACACTGAAATGATCGTCGCCAATAGCTTACAAAAAAGGTTTCCACTCATTGACGGCGCTTCAATGGCGGTTGTGTAAAGTGTAAAGTAAAAAATCACACTGCAGTGGGTGATTGTAAAAGAGGTTTAACAGAGGAAGTGCTAAACTCGCTTTTCCAATGTGTCACTTTCTGTTTCTACTCACCGTGTGATGCAATCGCTGGACCATACAGCCAATAGGCCCATAGCTCATATCTTGGGTACGTAAGCCTACATATTTATTCATAACAACCTTTTTGACGACGATCCTTGATACCGGTACTTTTCCATAGAATACATGGCCTACCTACTTAAGAAATATAATTACAAATGACCAAAACCCCAACATTGTGTGATTTTCGTCACATTTCCTTCTAATGTTAATAGATATACTAATCACTGTTTAGAGAATGCGTAATCTATTAAATAACAAAAAGTTGTTTAAGGTTGTTTTTTTTTTCAAACTGACACCGATAAGTTTACGCTATAACTTTTTACGAGAAAATCCAAAAGCAAGAGATCAATAACCTCGGGACTAGATATTAATGTATTTAATTGGTCGGATGTACTATAGTTCTTAGGTAGGTTCTTACGTAGGTACTGGTTCTTTTCCTTAGAACCGTTGGTAGCTGCTAGAATCATTTTTACGTAGGTACCAACACATCACTGTAGTTTACAAATTAGTTATCGTTGGTGTTGCACCTTATTTATTAGAGCCGTCCGTATTCAATTTAAGTGATGTCCGTCTGGATTCCAAATCTTAGCTTACCCGGTATGCTAAGAAAATGATAACCTATTTGAGTAAAACATTTGTTGGGCAAACCATCATGAATTGTTTACGCCTTTATATTGTTTATGTATCAATAGTTCGTGGCCTTTTTTGGATTGTTGTGTGTATGTCTGTTGGTAACGCATTGTCCTTATTCCTCAGTGTTTCACGGAATGGACAAGAGCACCTTTGATACAGTACTGAAAATGTCAACCGGAATAAAGTGTTAAATGGTGAGGTTGAGGTAGTACTTTAAATACGTTTAAGTTAACCGATGTGGAAAGTAACTTTCAATTATAGGCCTACTTTAGGGCTACGCTTCATGGATCTATAAAACATTTTTTAGTTTAATCATTGGACATATGGACCATAACGATCCGGGTGAAATTTAATTGCGAAGCATTTATTTTGGCTTGAACTGTCAGATACTGTATTTGCGAAGGTTTGTATATAATAGTTTTGCCAGCATATCTGCAAATGTGCAAACTAACTGCTGTTCTTAATCTTAATATAAGAAGGTTTCAACTGACTACTATAAGATCCCCGTGCGTAGAACGGGCACACAGCTAGTGTTATGTAAATTAGCAAATAAACATATGTAGAACTATGATAAACATTATGTTGAGATTGTAGCACAACGGATTGAGTTATCAAATAATTAAATAACTTACGTCATCAATCCATGAATTTCTGTGGAGTACGCGTTTCAACCATCAGGTCATCCTCAGCTCCATTGTCACTAGGTTGAATCTAATTCTATGTTGCTTTGTAGCAACAGCGTCAATATATTAAATAAATAGTCCAAAAACATTTTACATTTATCACACATACACGACACGTACGAAACATTTAGATAACGAAATACTGTGATAACACCGTGCGCACGGCTGGACGGGCTCAGGTTTGCGGCTACACTGACTTGGTCGGTCGGTATCCTACACACTGATGTATGATTGTAGCCCCAATTGGGAACCGATTTAAATGATCTTGGTGTCATATTTTTCGTTAAATATATTTGTAGTTTTGCCGTTTTTTTAAATTTTGATAATTTAAAAAATGTTGAGCTCAAAGGTTGGTAAAAATGTTAAAATACACGTTTTTTATCACAAGTTTTACAAAGTTTTACAAGCATACAAATAGTTTTTAGAGAAAAAATAAAAAACGGGAAAAGTGAAATAGATCCTTAAAAACAAGAACCTGCAGTTAGTTAACTAAAAAGTTGAAGGATAACTATGTAATCACCCAGACTCGAAAGGCTTGCAAGCGCTCTTCGTGGTGCTGTTCAATGCAATGGTATAGGGACATAGGCGTTCGGCAACTTCGTATTGAGAAATCCGAGCTGAGGTAGAGCACACCCTTAATCTTTCCTTGGAAAATAAATAAATAAATACCTACGTCATTGCCGTCTTCTATCGTGACTTCTTTGGGCTGACTGGACTCGCCACCAGATTATTTCAACAAAAATCTACTCATTGATTTGCCTTGTTTTTTTATCTTCCTCTTCCAAATTCGCCATGCTTTCTATAAGTGCCAGACGGTTTCTTTTTTTCTGCCATTGTTTTCTTAGTATCGGCTTGCAATATGTTTTACTCATTCATTCAGTTTATACTTTCTTCTTATTTAATGCGCTAATTATAAATTAAACTTAAAACACTCGTAATCATTCACTTATCAACAATCATGAATCATCAAAACAACGCCAATACGATACCGATACGGTATACGTATACAACTGCAATACAACGTAATAATGTTCTGCTCTAGGATCAGAGGCAGAAGGGAGGGAAAGGTGGGGGAAGTTTCTTGTTGTGACAAGTGGCGCTGCGCGCTTGCTTATCTCGTGCATTAGTGAGTGAGTCGTGAAATGAATCCCACAGGGGCCACGCTGTACGCTGCCGCCTACCGAGCATCAGCTCACTACAAATCGAAACTGCAAATGGCATTGAGTCGAGTCCTTGAGTTGTAGTGCTGTACAAATATACGCATTTTTCAAGTGCTGTTAGTACAAACAGAATAAATGCCTTTTTGTGGTGTTTTGAATACTTGAACTCTAAGCAAAAATAAACAAAATTACGTTGTTCACGTTAAAAAAAAATGTTCCGTTGGCGCCACTTTTTTGTGGCACTATATGCGGCCACGTAGTTCGCGTATGGGTTAAACCGGCCCTGTCAGTCAGTGAGGGCTTTGCCTTTTATATATATATAGATTTTGGTCGAGTTTTTGACCACAGGGGTGACCTCTAGTTTGACTTATTAACTTTATACAATCAGCGTGGTTTTATACAATAGTCAAGTAATTATTCTTTTTAACAGGTGGTGAAAAATCACATAAGTCAAACGATGGTGATGACTGACAACCTCCAACCAGATTTACATTACAGTGTTCCATCATATTTCAACATGCTTTCAATGACACAAGAAGATGGTAGGATAAAGGTAAGATTGAGACATTTTTCTTAGTACCGTACACTGCTGAAATTTGTTAGACTATATATACCTGTAGGTATATATAGTCAATGCTAAGATCAAATAATGCTGAAAAATTAAACATAATTATTTGCCAAAAAAATATTGTAGTGGTAGCTGTGATGTAGATTGGAGAAATCTAGACATACGGTAATCTTTGCAATCTGTGAATTGATTAAAGGGGTTGGAATTCAATCATATTTCCACTGGTGCCTGTCACTCATCTATATATTTAAAAAATATCGGTTTTTCTTTTCCGAGTCCGTCCACCTCTTCTGCCCGACCGAGTTTCATGATTTTGGTCTTAAATTAAAGGTATGCACCCGTAGATTTGCCATCAAGCATCGGCATTCATTTATCTGACGTATTACTCGAATTATGCACAAACATAATTTGCTCCCTGTACATTTCTTATGGGAGATAAATTTGGTTTTTCTTTTCCGAGTCCGTTCGGCTCTTCTACCCGACCGATTTTCATAATTTTGGTCTTAAATTAAAGGTATGCACGCGTAGATTTGCCATCAAGCATCAGCATTCATTTATCTACAGTATTACTTGACCAAAAAACATAAATTAGATTTTTTTTAAATTGTTACTTCAATTGAAGATATGTTTCCTCAGTTATAATTACGTAATCCTATATGTTTTGGTCTAAGAACCTTCAGTGAAATACCAGCTTTCATTTGAGCCCTTGATTTTTAAGATCGGACGTACCTGAAGCGCGCTGCTGAATTCCAAACAATAAAAAATGTAATTATTTTGGGATTTACCGACGACCAGTGATCAATAACCCCATTTTTATTTTAGTTTGTTTATATGTTTTGTTCTTAAAATACTCCTAGAAATACAAGCTTTCATTTGAGATATAGATCGTTCGTATCAGTTATGTTCAAAATACTGTATTACAATCAAAAAACATAAATTTGATATGTTAAGGAAAAGTTACTCTTTGTAAAGGAATAAACACTAATTTTATATTCCTCTATGTCAGCTGTTTACAAATGTTTAACAACATTTGTTTACATTAATCATATGTACTTTTGTATTTTTCATTGCAACAATTCAATTCTTTCTAATAAGTCTTACTCATTTTTCTCTTTACGTTTTTTATCAAATTAAGTTTTTTTTACACTAAATTCACTCGGTCCTTCAGTATTATTCCCCATAAGTTTAATTGTTTGCTTTTTTTAAATTATACAACATGTCTTTTAAATGGCACAAGGCTTATTGTAAAGAAAATGCATAAAAATATTTTAGATTTGGAAATAATAACGGGGAAGAACATCGGGCAACGAGTACTCCTGCCACGCATTGATTTTTCGCCTTCAGATACAACTGTGCCATTTTCTTTCAAGCGAAGACAATTTCCAATTGAGCCATGGTAAGGTAGCATTTTACATTACCATTAATAAAGCGCAGGGGCAAACAATTGATCGGGTTGGAGTCTACTTGCCTGAACCAGTTTTTAGCCATGGTCAGCTGTATGTCGCCTTATCGAGAGGAAAATCATTCGAAAAAGTTAAAGTGGAAATATAACCAAAAGGACGACGCACATTGAATATTGTATGGAGAGAAGTGTTGTAAAGGCAGATGATTTAATATTTGTATTTATATTTTATTTTGTTATTTAATGTAATGGTGTAAATAAACAAATTTTATTTATAACATAAATTATTAATTTGAGTAACTAATATTCAGTTTAATAAATTATCTTAAGATTTTATGAAATAAATTTCAATGCTGCGGAGCAGCAAGCGTCCTATAGTCTCAATATTATTTTGCTTTTCTGGGTTTCATATAATAAAAAAATAATGTCTAAAAATCATCATTTCAGGAGACGTCCAAACCAACTTATACAGGGCATAATATAACTACCACAAAATCAGAATGGGAAAATATTATCGATTTTAATGTGAAGCTAAAACTGAAAATTGAAATAGGGTCATCTTTCCTCAAGGGCTGAGCTAAACGAAGCAATCTTATGAAAGGAATGCAATACTCTTGCTTCAGAAAACTACACCTGGATAATATTCCAATTGAATGTGTCAACATATTCAAAACTAATATGAAGTTTTTTTGTTGTTGAATGTGTCAATAAAATAGGTATTAGGCCTACCACTGACTTTTGGATATGGAACTGAAGTAGACATCTTATATAATGGACCAGCTGTCGCCAATTATTTAGGCCTATTAAAAAACATTTTTTTTTGTTTCTGACATATTTCAGTCATCAACATCAACCGTTTCTATATAACTACAAATAGAGTAAATATAGACTGGCAAAGGAAGGATCCGCTATGTGCTGATTGGTGTTTGATTCGCTGCCGTCGTCGGCTCCTCACCGTAGGCTACCAGCAGCACTACAGCGGTATGCGCTGTAACAACACGACAATCCTTGCGGTGGACACCAGAACTTATGCTAACCGCAGCATAGCTGACGGTCTATATTTATTCTATTTGTCTATGCTATAACTAAGCTCACAATAAGATGTTCCATCTGTTTGACTTGGTATTAAAATGTTGTGATTTCGAAAGAAATATCAGTAGTTAAAATCAGCATGATCTGTCTGTGGCTCACATCAACTATAACGATTTTGATTAAAATAACAGTTGACGACTTAAACATGAGGATGTAATGTTATAGTTGTATCAATAGTCAAAGTCAATATTACTGAGTTGTAAGTTTCTGTTAATATTATCACATCATGTTAACTAACAGACGTTTCACTCTTACTCCGAAGTGGATTCCTCTGCTACTAAGCTGCAACAATCTTAAAACGTCTAATAGTGAAATTGAACAGACGAAGCAGTTAGCGCGAAAAGAAAAGAAAACAACATTCAAATAAAACTAAAGATTGATAACATTCTAACTTAACTATACTTTCACATTTTCTAGACCCAAGTAAGATATATTGGCAATAATTTATGAAAACGATTTGTTTCAGGTGAATGGCGCAACAGCATCAGAATGTGACATTTTGACATCAAATGGAGTTGTTCACAAAATTGACAAAGTATTACTACCAGAAGACAACAACGATGTTTGAGGAAATACAATGTGCATTAGTGAAGGCTTTTAAGCGTGTTACATATTTTAGAGTATGGCTAGATTATTATTTAAGACTTCAGTTGGCAAGTTGGGCTAGTTTTGTAAAAAATAAATTATAATTGTACATCTTGTATTAAAGTTGTTGCTGCAATCCTAATTCTTACACTGGTCAGTAAATGAAAACCTACTTTTTTAAGTAATACAAATCTGTTTTTCATCAAGTCATTTTCAAATGTAAATCATGAATTACCTGAATGAATATAATATAAACTATATAAGATTGGGAATAAAGTTTGGGTGTAGTGGATGGAGAGAAGAGGCAAGGAGCGAGCTGGTCTAGTGCTAGATCTTGGGGCTTCGTTGCCCGAGTTCAAATCCTGCCAATTGCCAATGGATTTTATCTACTATGTGATAATTCTCCAATTCTCTTGGAGTATCCTGAAGTAATTTACAAAACAGTTCCGGGCTAGAACTGTCGTCCTAGGATGTAAAGGTTGGGCATACAAAATAAAATTTAAGTGAATGTAAGGGAGGCTTTATAACTCTCGTTGTAGGTTATATTTTCAGTTTATCTATTCATACTTTGTACCTGAGTCGATATAGTGCAGTAGGCCTATAATCAGCAGGTTTCCAGTTTGATCCTGATTACCCCTAAGTCATATGGTAAGCTTTTTGAAGGTCGAAACCAAACCCAAGTGTTCCTGATCATTGGGCTTTTAACACGTTCGCTACTGCAATAGTAGGGAATTTTTCATTCGCATTGACCTGCGACGGCCGATTCCCACCCATAGACTGCCGTTGCATGCGACGGCTAGTCACATTAAAATAGACTGCCGTCGCATATTTGCGTCAGGGTTTTAATGTTATTAAAATGCTTATATCTTTGAAACGGTCTATTTGTTTTTCAAGCAATTAACGATACTTGTCCCAGGTAATTTAATGTTACTGTTTTCCTAGAAGCTGAGCGGAATGCTATGTTAATCTCTATTCCGCTCTCTGCGTTCCTCTCTCTGCTCTCCGCTTCCGCGCCTAGGAAAACCAAGCTTAAGGCCTCTTTTATGCACGACGTTTTCGGTCGGGCGAAATCGTCAGGGGGAATCGTTGTCCCTTTTATGCTTTTAAGCAGTTTTTCCGCCGAGCGGAATATGCTAGTTTTTTATGATGCCCGCAGTGGGGGTAGTCATTGCTGCCAACTATGGTCATTTTTCCATAGTCATTAATCCAAGATGGATCCATGTTTATTGGTTTATACCCATTTGTGGCGTAAAGAAAAAAAGACAACAGCGATGGAGGTGGGTATACAGTGTACACCCGGTGAATGAAAGTCTTAGGGTTGAAAGCAATGACAGTGTTGGCAGTACTGCAGGGTTGCCAATGAGATGGTGTGATTGCCATTTGTACAACAATTCCCATATCAATCCCGGGTATACCTTTGATACAAAAATTCCCATGTCAGTCCGGGGAATAAAGTAGTATTATTCCTACGAAACAGTAAGTTTGTATTATTCCGTGGATTTAAACAGAAATGTAATTCTAACGGAGTAATTTTTCCCCAATTACATCTCTTTATTTGTACTCTTCAATCAATTACAATGAATAATGATAATCTATTTATAATGAGGCGATTTCAATACTGTGGATGACAGAGGTAATGGTGACGGGCTGGACTTTCCAACCACGAGTTGCTCCAACTACCAAAAATGTTTGTTTCCTGCACAGGTTCTGTAACCTCAGGGCTTTATTGTTCGTTATTTAATAAAATAATTAGTTAAATTATTAGAAGAGTATTGTGTTTTTAATTTATATTTGAATAAATACAATATCATGTAATACTAATGTACAACCTTAGTGTATAAATATGTATTATATTGTACCTGTTGTATTTGAAAAGAACAATAAAGAATTTTTCAATTCAATTCAAATTCAAAATTCAGAGCGTGGGCTAGGCAGGCAGCACTGCGTTCCGCCCGACGGAAAACGCAGTTACATAAAAGGGTTCCATTTGAACCTATGTAAAAACACGCTCCGACGAAACGCCGAAACTCGGCACCGACGGAACACTGAAACGCGACGGAGATTCCGTCGTGCATAAAAGGCTCCCATTTGAACCCATGTTAAACACTCATCGACGGAAAGTCCGATAGATTCTGATAGATTCCGCCCGACGGAAAACGCTGTGCATAAAAAAGGCCTAAGCAAGGAAGTATGATTTATCTATGCTATTTATCTCTTCAGCCACATTATTTGGATCACTTATAACAGTGCCGTTTTCCAGCCTATTGTATTATTGATTACCTTCCAGTATTGAGCAGAATCACCATTACAGTTATTAATTTTATTTTTTAGGTAATTATTTTTTGTTGTATCTATATCTGTTTGTAATTTCTCACAGAAACGATTGAAATAATTATTGAAAGTTAAGTCATAAGTTCTTTTTTATGTATAGCATACAATTGTTTACACTTATCTAATCTTTTAATCAAGTTTGAATTTATCCAGCGTCTGAAAGATTTTGCCTTATGTAGTCTGTTTTGTTTACGGCTTAACATAGAATTACTTGCGATAGACACTAGTTTTCCATTAAATATGTTGTAACTATAATTTACGTCATTTGTAATGAAACATTCTTCCCAGTTTTCACTTTCTAATTTTCTTTTCACCAAATCATAGTTCACAGTGTTTTGAAAATAGAAGAAGAAGAAGAAAAAGCGCTTTATTTTCAAAATACCCAGTGCACAATACAAGTTAATTTGTCCCACGCAGGAGACGTGCCTACGCACTACAGCAATAACCTCTAGGTCGTCTGCTGGGTTGGCACGTCTAAAACTAAATCTAACAAAACAGTTATTGGATTCCTTTAAAATAAAATTAGAAATCTTTCCTTAAACTAACAATTATGGCCAATATTTTAAAGTTAATAAATATAAATACAGTCTAACCAGTTTCTCTAAATTCCTATAGTTTTATCGGTTTTTTTGTGTTGAGATGTTTGGATAATTAAATTTGTATATTTTTTTCAATTGTCAAATTCTTGTATTAAAATCCACCTGTATTGCCAGGCGTTTTTTTAAATAATTTACTAACACTCGCCAATCCCTGCCATTTAAAAAACTAATATAAACCCCTTCAGAAAGGACCCTATTGTGTAAAAATGTTAATCTAAGATTACTTAAAATTGGACATATAGAGATGAAATGTAATGTGGTTTCAATTTCGCCCATATTACAAAGAAAACAGAACTTATTTCCCGTTGACCAAGGTTTACCATTCAAATAGAAGCTTAACATAGAATTACTTGCAATAGACACTAGTTTTCCATTAAATTGACGTACGATGATTAATCATTGATAATGAAAACCCCTCAATATATTTCATATAAGTTTGCCAAAAGACTGTTTAAATAATTAATATATAAACAGTCATATGTTTTTCAATTGTTTTGTTAAAAAACAGTAAATAGTTTAGTTGTTGTTTGATGTTTGAATGAAATAAAGAAGATGGGGTTTTGTTCACATTTATTTTTGTCATTTCTGATATTTTATAATAACTGATCGTCCGTGATATCGAGTTGATCGAATCACGCATAATAAAATTGACGATGACAATTGGCGACCGTGACAGGATTTTAAGAAGAAATTACAAAATTAGGAGAACCACCAGCAGACCCGGTGAGTATGTTACTAGTAAAGATTTCGGCACAGTTAGATACTCGATCAAAACAATTGGATACTCATTTGGGAGGCATCAAAAATGTAATTTCATCCTCCATTAAAAAGATTTCGGAAAACCAAAACCAATCAAAATCAGAAACTAAACTTATTACTAACACCTATGAAACAGACAAATCGGACATCGAAATTAAATACAATGAAATCAAATTCAACAATCGGGAAAATATCTTGGAGTTAGCCGAGGACTCATCGGCCATCCCGGGAGGTATAGAGATCCTACGTCAGACAGAGCCGTTTGATGACTCATTGGCCTTCTCGGGAGATACAGATGAGATCCTGAATAGTACAGAGATGGTCCAGGACTCATCAGCTATCTTGGGAGATAGAGAAGAGATCTTTCGACAAACAGTGATCGTCAAGGAATCATCAGCCATCTTGGGAGATAGACAAGAGTTCCTGCGGCCAACAGAGAGGGTCGAGGACTCAATGGTCATCACAGGAGGTGCAGAAGAGATCTTGCGACGGACAGTGATGGTCGAGGACTCATCAGCCATCTTGGGAGATAGACAAGAGATCCTGCGGCCAACAGAGAGGGTCGAGGACTCAACGGTCATCACAGGGGGTGCAGAAGAGATCTTGCGACGGACAGTGATGGTCGAGGACTCATCAGCCATCTTGGGAGATAGACAAGAGATCCTGCGGCCAACAGAGAGGGTCGAGGACTCAACGGTCATCACAGGGGGTGCAGAAGAGATCTTGCGACGGACAGTGATGGTCGAGGACTCATCAGCCATCTTGGGAGATAGACAAGAGATCCTGCGGCCAACAGAGAGGGTCGAGGACTCAACGGTCATCACAGGAGGTGCAGAAGAGATCTTGCGACGGACAGTGATGGTCGAGGACTCATCAGCCAACTTGGGAGATAGACAAGAGATCCTGCGGCCAACAGAGAGGGTCGAGGACTCAACGGTCATCACAGGAGGTGCAGAAGAGATCTTGCGACGGACAGTGATGGTCGAGGACTCATCAGCCATCTTGGGAGATAGACAAGAGATCCTGCGGCCAACAGAGAGGGTCGAGGACTCAACGGTCATCACAGGAGGTGCAGAAGAGATCCTACGAGGGACAGAGATGATCGAGGACTCATCAGCCATCTCAGGAGACGAGGATGGGATCCTGCATCGGACCGATTCTCCTGTGGTCACGTCAACTGCAACGGACACCAAGATACTACCTGCGTTCAATGTTACGTCGTGTGAATACTTTGAGGTGGAACACAAGCTAGGGAAGGGAGTGTACCTCTTGAGGTCTGATCCACCAATTATGGTTAATGTTAAAAAGGTTTTAATGTCGGAGTTAAAAATACTCCCGCAAACTCTCCGTGAAGCAACTCAAGCAGAAAATGATGTGCAAGAAGCAGAAGACCATAACGATGCCTCACCTGGGTATAACTTAAGGTCTAGAAAGAAGAAGATTTGA